CCTGATTTTGAAACAAATCTACAACAAGAAGCAACAAAAGTAGATCAAGGGGAATATGTAACTCTTAAGCTACCTAGAAATTTGACCAGATAACCAGTGCTGCTGATCATCTCAAGTTGTCAGACAATTAAAGGGCAATGATTGTATCAACATTGTTAAAAACTGCTGGGGGTAATCTTGAAGATTTTGAGATCTACAACTTGATATCTACAAGATATACAACTTGGAGAACAAGAGTGTTCAATCGTCAAAAGATTGCAGAAAGTGTCATGGAGACAGTGAAACAGAACTCTCCCCATTTGAGTGCTTTGCAATGGCATGATAAACTTTTAAAAGATATGCTGGGACCCACATATAAACAACTTTGGATTCCTATTTCTGGAGCTCCCAAATACAAGGACGGGAAATAATTAGGTATGCCTTCTCTAGCCAACTCCCAAGGAGCAACTCAAGCTGAAGCTGAAGCTTGATGTTATACAAGTTTGTGAAGAGTTGTAGCTCTAGTGTTTGATACAGTAGCTAGCAATAGTGGTATACACAAAGGAGCTGTTAAGTTAATGAAAGCAAGTCTAGATAATAAGTTACTCATCTAACCTATCGTCATCACATTTTAAAACTTGTTGTTAGCAGGGATGCGAAGTTCCATCCATTTTTTGGGACTCTGGACTCCAGGACTCTGGACTCCGAGCTCAAAAATCATGGACTCCATTGACTCCCACTCTAAAATAATTTTTTTTTTGTTTATCTAAATATAGGGTTTTTATTATCTGGAACTTTTACGCAAAAATTCTAGAAAAATGAGAGGGTACCAATAATATTTTCTCTTATGAATTACATATATGTTTATTTTATGTACCCATACGGTCTTATAACAGCGCACCTTGGAAAAGCAATTAACAGGAAATTCACTCCTACTTCTAACCGATGTCGCAATACCAAAGGTGGGTTTGAACCACGGATCCCTTATTTTTTTAGGAGAGTGCGCTACCACTGCACCATGGCTGCTTAAACCCAAAAGTTAATTTGTTCCGCTTTTGCTGGATCGTAAGAATTTATAAGAACAATACAACTCCAAAGATTTTTATTTGATTTGTATTTTTGCACATACAGATTTCTCAGATGTCGCACTTAATTTCTCAGATTATTTGAAACCACATAATCATAAAATTATAAAAAGATTTAAATGCTTATTTGTGTTAATTACACGCTAAATTATAAAGTTACAAACACAAAATATTACAATAATTATATCAAAAAAATGTTCAAATAAAAAACTCGTTTGTTTGTAAAAAAAAATTGTTTGTTTGTAAAAAAAAAAAAAACATCAATTAAATCAGATGTAAATCAACTACGATGGTCTGGTGTCATGTGCTTTAAGACTGAAAACAGACGCTTGACACTGACTTGGAATATATGGGTAGCAACACGGCAGGCATTCCGTACAACTTTAGGGAACTGCTCAATTGATTTTAATGGATTAAGTTTTAGAAACTCGTCTAAGTTGGATGATTTGTCTTTTTGTCAGTTAATTGACTTATCTTTTTGCCATTGAACGGATTTACGGAATTGTTTTTAGAGCTAGTCGAAACTCCTTTTCGATTACATCTAGTTGAACCTGCATTTGTCCTTCTGAAGAATTTTCTTGAACCCACCGCCCACACAACCCAAATAAATTTGGTCAACGCTTTACGACTGGTGAAGTATTTTGCTCATTTTCTTAACTAGAGTCCAACACATAAACTGCAAAAGAGTTGTGCTCTACTGCTTTTTTGGTTTTATTGAGTTCATTATTCTTATTTTCATTAGCGAGTTGAATCAGTTTGTAATGTGTCTTCCAAAGTCCATCAGCTGCAGCTATCTATAGAAGTATTTATACTTTTTTGAATATGTATTTTTTAAAGTTAAATAAATAAATATATATTAGCATATAGTCATGTCCAATATCAACGTAAACTGCTGCAAGAAACAACAGATTTTCATGTAGCACGCTTTCTCTATTATCCATTCCTTTTTGGAAATCTTTGGCTGTCTTTCCCGTCAAGTTCACACTTTTCAATCAAATTCAAAAGAAATTCGCCTGCGGTTATTTTCACGAAGAATAGTAAGATCGTGTGCCATATGCTATACATCTCTCAATTCCTCCCACATACCACAAAAACATAGATGCATATTAAATTCTTTAGGAGCATCTTTTTGCATATTTAAATTTTGATCTACTGGTCGAATCTAGAAGAACAGAAGAATTCATTAAATATATGTACAAAGTTATTAACTACCTAAATAAAGAGGATTATTAAAGAAATATTTACATAAACTAACATTAAAAATGTATTAAGTAGTATAAATGTCATTACCATTGAAATAATTGGATTTATATTATACTGGTTTAAAAACTGGTTTATACACTTTGATTAAAACTTAGAAGTTAAATGTTATAACTTACCTTAATTAGCCTCTCAATCATATTGAACTGGCTATACCAACGGGTAGCCTGATCTAAAACTGGAATGAGAGGTGGAGTCTGGTCCCTGAAGAAGTCAATCCACTTTGAATTTCTTGCAGTTTTTACAACATCTCTGGCATGGTTAATTAGATTTTTATTGTGGGCCTTTTCAATGCATCATTTACGGCTAGCTGTAAAGTGTGGACAGCACATCTTTGAAGATGTATAACACTCATGCTACTGGTAACTCCACTTTCCAAGACTGCTGTCGTATTGTCAGCTTTAGAATAACCATCTTCGTCAAATTTATTAGTTTCTCCGGAAAAATTCTTCATCATCTACAATTTTCTCAACAGCGCTGATGCCAACATAGCGCACCGACTTTATATTCACCTAAAGATATTAAATATGATTTCAATAGTTAATTTAAAGTTTAGTGAATATATCTTACAGTATACAAAAGATTTTATCAAAATAGTTTAATTTTTAAATGATTTTATGGAAAATAATAACTTTAATCACATAATTTAAAATTTTTTTCATTAACAAAAAATATAGTGAATTACAAAATGTTACTCACTGCTGCGTTGTCAACACTGAGGCCTAAAATATTAGTTTTATTGATTTCAAACTTATCTAAACACTTCTCAATAATTTTTTTTGCGTACTCCGCCATTTGTTTTCCCTTTCTATCAATGGTGCCAAGATTGATCACAGCAATTTAATGTTTGAGTATTGCGCATTTATACCAAGTTAGTGACGCATATGCCTTGATGTAGAAGCGACTTTCCGACAAATTAGCATTTTTGATAATTTGCTTTTTGATTTGTTTGCGATGGTTTTTGACAAGATTGATAATTTGAATTCTCATACTACCTCTATTCATTTTAAATCCAAAATGAGATGAAACTTTTCCACATTTAAATAGGTTCCCGATCAAACGCCTATAGATACTGTTTTTAGAATGATAAATGTTAAATTAAAAATGCCAAAAAAAAACATATAACTGTTTAAATTTTTTTTTTTTAATTAAAAAAAAATTACTAACAAAAAAATAAATTGAATCTGGAATGAAAGACCTTCAACCAAAACCAACTGGTTTAAGGCTTCTAAAAACTCATCTTTTGCAATATGCTAAATAATTTGCTGTGGTACAAAACACTTTAATATGGATTGCTGTGTAGTGCTGCCTTGATGGCTGAATACTTTTGCTTCTTATTCTTTTCTTCTATTTTTTTTCTAATTTTTCTTTTTCTAACATAATGAGGAGCTCCGCATGTTTTCTAGATAAGTTTCGTATAAGGTTTCTAATGCAAGCTTTTAAAGCACATGTAATTTCTTTACCGCTTAACTCGTTACTTTTACTTTTTTTATTTGTATGATGAAAGTGTCTGTAGATTGTATCTGATGCATAGTTAGTGGACATTACTGGTCAAGATTGTTACACGCAAGTTAATAGCAAATATTATTTTAAAGAAAGAATGTTGTTATTGCAAGTTATTATGAATATGTCAAGTATTCTCTTTGTGTTATATGCTTTGTAAAATTATTTTTTTATAAAACAACCCAGGAAAACATAGTTAGGAAAGCTGTTACAATGCCTAATTATGAATTGATGACATTTTTCTGTATAAGAAATTTCTGCACAAAATAATTTTTATTTATTTGTTGAGGTATTTTTATAAGCTTTTTTTAACTTCTTTCTGACCTAGATGGTACATTTTTTTGCCAACTGCCTAGATCGTTAGCTTGATTTTATAGCACAAACTCACAGAAAAATTTGTTTTTTTTATTGGATATAGATAATTTGCTAGTGAAATTTGATAGTTTTTTGTATCTAAACCATATTGCTTTCATTGCAATTTTTCATTTGGTGTTATTAAAATAAATTTTTTTATTTTCTTAGCAGAGTAGACCTTTTATTTTAACATATTAATAAATATAAAAAAAAATAGAAAAAAATTGGTCATGAAATGACTTTGACAAGTTTGATTGGGTTTGAATCTAATTCATTGTTCCACATTTTAAAAGTCAGCACTAGTTGGCTTTCCAAACTTAAACTTAATTTTTTTCTTAATAAAAAAAACTTATTTGTATTGCAATCTAAAACTTAATCTAAGCAATCTAAGAGGACTCTGAGAACTTGGGCTTGGTTAAAACTTAAATATAAAATCTTTAAATAAAATATCCAACCTATAAGTCTGAAAAAACTAAATCCATCTAGTCTTAAAATAAAATATTTAAAATATAATAATAATTTATAATAGTCTTAAATAAAATATTTATAATAAAATATAGTCTTAAATAAAATATTTAAAAAGTTATAAAGAAGTTTATTTACAACAACATCAAAAATTGTCTACTTCATTATAGTATTTTGCTAGGAAAAATGTATGTGTTTAAGTCAGGACTTTAAAACTTCAAGTGTGCAAAATATATAAGGATAGTGCACACCTAAATCCACTAAAATGTTTATATATATATTTGTAAGTTATACAACTTTAGAAGATTAAAACAACTTAAAACAGGTTAAGAAGTTACATAAAATTAAAGTTACCATAGCTAACTTTTCTCCTTCTTCTCTTTTCACTTGCCTTTCCTTTGTCAGATCAGCCTAAATTACAATAATTATAAAATGTCAATTAAACTCAATCAAGATTTTAACACGTTCACGCCGGCGTGTACCACTGGTGGTACACACTAGACTGTCTCTTTGGGCAGCGTGTACCACTGGTGGTACACACTAGACTGTCTCATTGGGCGGCATGTACCACCGGTGGTACACGCCGCCCAATGAGACAGTCTAGTGTGTATCACCAGTGGTACACGCCGCCCAATGAGACAGTTTAGTGTGTACCACCGGTGGTACACGCCGGCGTGAACGTGTTAAAGATTGTTAAACTACCAAGATATTATTACTTAGGTATTAACACCAATCAAATAGTAATACTTTAATATTATGGGTAATACTAATAAAAATACTTTGTTCTTTTTACTTATTTTAGTACAAAAACAGAACAAACTACAGATCTACTGGTACTAACAATAGCACCTAAAATAGTTTCTATGCTACAAGGGCAATTTTGGTGGGTAACGTAACAAAACCAAAATCAAGAGTTGTAAAGATTATAGGTGGAAAAATCAAAACATTGAATTATGGGGCCAAAAGTTGGATATATAAATAAAAAACAAATAAAAACTAAACCCTCAATTAAACCATTTTTTTTAAATTTTAAACGTCTACCTTTTCTTTAATTACTTAAGTAAATAGTGTAGGATTGTAGAGTATTTTAAAAGAAAGATGGATAATTTTTAAGAAGATAAGTAAAATAAAAACATACTTTATTCCCTAATAACATTACCACAGCATCAGTTGATGCGTAGTCTTTTATTTCAGACAACCATGCCTAAAATGAGTAATTGAATTTAAACACTCATACTTAACTTTCAAATTTTATTCAACAAAAACAAACTCTAATAAAAATTACAAGAAAAAAACAGAGAGCAAGACATGTTTTTAAAAAGACAATTAAGGCCAATCACCAATATAATAAAATTTAAATTCTATAAACTGAAGCTATTGACCAAATTCAATTTTAAAAATTAACCAAATTCAATTAAAAAAAATTTATTGAACCTTAAACATAATGTTTACTTTTTTTTTTAGCTACTTGAAAATTAAATTACCAATAATTAAAAAAAAAAGTAAAAAAAGAAAACAATTTTCAATTAATGAATTAAAAAATATATATAAATTTTAAAAAAAGTTCAATGACAACAATAACATTTATATCTAAATTCATTATTTTAGATGTATTGTTCTTGTCATTATTATTATATGTGAATTTCTAAACACACACAAATTTTGTCAACATTTTTGAAATTTTATTTTATATCTAAATGTAATAAATATATTATAATTAAAGGAAGACCTTGATTACTGCTAATACAAACTCTACTGGTTTAAACATGAAAAAAACAAAAACAAAAAAAACGAGTAATATGAATATATGCTTATAAAAATGCACCTATAAATAAAATCAAAGGATTGTTGTCAGAAGTTAAAAACTTATGAATAAAAATAGAAAAGACTAGCTATACTAATGAAATCAAAAACCAAAATAGAAAATCAAAACAAAAACGTTTTTTGGCAATGCCTATAAAACTTTAAAAGTAAATTTTATTTTTAAATATTTTTCAAAAATAATTTTTTATAAAGAAATTTGAGCTATTAAACTTTTTATAAGTCTTATGTTGATATCATATAAAAATTTAAAAATAATAGCATAAAATAATAAAGCATACCCTAGTATTATCAAATGTTCGACGACTTCCAACATCATATAAAAGTAATAAAGCTGCAAGTAAATAAATATTCATGTATATTTATAGACGTTATCTTTAAAATATGAACGAGAACTATTAGTTGCATACCTTGGGCATCTCTATAATAAGCATGAGTTACACTTCGAAAGCGTTCTTGCCCTGCTGTGTCCCAGATCTAAAACAAACAAAGAAGATTGTGCTATTAATATAAACATTTGATAAATAAAAAAATTTAAGCATTTTTCAATTTTTTGTATATATGTACATAAATAAATTTAACAATGTGTATATTTGAAAAATGTAAATCCTCTTTACTAAAAAAACCTTTTAAAAAACTATGAATTCCACTCTCAAAATTCAGAACATAGTCAAGCCTCAGCGGGAATAAATAAGTGCAAGAGCGGAGAAAAGCTCTCATAAAACAAACATGGCAAGCCATGCGAGCAGTTCTTTTTAAAGGGATCCCAAACTCCCGACATATGTTGTGTTCATATTAAAGATAATGTTAAAAAAAAAGGTTTGAACCAAGTTTTATTGATTAAAAATAAATAATGAACGCATACCGAGAAAAACTAACGTTGTTGTTTTAACCGAAGCTCGCCTTCTCCATTTTTTTCAATAACTCGGAGTCTTTAAATTATACGTCGCAATCTACAGACTTTGGCGATTCCTTTGAAGCGCGTTTAATTCATAAAAGTTTGAGTATTTGACGTCACGGTAGACTTTAAACAAATGAAACTCTGGAAATATTTTTATTTATTTTTATTCGAACTTTTTGATTATTTGTTAAGTTTTTATTTTTTTATTTTTAACATTTAAAAAGATATTAAAAACCTCAAATATTTTATTATCTCAATCAAGACTCTGATAAAAAATTGTTTTACATTAATTACCCTTATAAAAATAGTAAAAGCATTTTTATTAGGTTAGATAATACTTCGTCTCAATTTGTTTTGCATGAAGTTCGGGAAGTCAAGCGAAAAAAATTAGTTTGAATAACCACTTTGAAATATATTTAAAACAAATTATTTTAATGACAGGGGTTTAAAAGTTTTATAACAAATGTAGGTAAAAAATAAATAATTAAATAAAAAGTTCAACATTAAACATCATTTCTTTATTATATTGCAACAGTAAATATTGAAATATTAATTTGAACTAAATTTACTTATTATTTAGAACGACTAGGCAATAAAAATAAAAAGCCCCTAAAATTATGCGATATTGTGTTGTTTATTTGATATTTGTTGTTGGTAATGTTGTTTATGTTGATTATTTTCATTAATATCAAAATAGTCCCAGATTAATCTCTTAGTTGCTTTGTTCATTGTTGCTTTATTTTCAATTTAATTTTATCTCAAAGTATAAATTTATGTTAAGAAAGAAAAGTTTTTATTTCATCGCTTGCTCTTTTTTTAAAAGAGTAGAACAAAAGAGAAAGAAAAGTTTAGTATAGAATATTTTTTTTTTGTGTCACTCATTCTTTTTTTAGATGAGAGAAATAAAAATTTAATAGTAACTTTTTTATGAATAAATGAAAATTGGAAGAGAAAATTGCTTGAAAATTTGTATTTGTTGTGTTTTAAAATTTTTTTAATTTTTTATGTTAAGAGACTAATGCCAAATACGATACAAATTGGGAAATACTAAATATAATATTTTTTTAATGCGCGTTATGATATTTTGACAATTTAAATTACCATTTATCTTGAATTATTGCCATTAATTAATGTGTTAATTATTGCATTATTTAATAATAATTTGTCTGTATTTTTGCTAAGTATTAGTTGTATAAAACGGGAGAAAATATATTAGGAAAATATATTCTTCATGTTTTTTATTTGATGGTTATAAAATATTGAACAGTAAACTTAAATAATGCTGACTTGTGTTGCTATTAATTGTACTTTTAATGCAAAACCAGGATCTCACATATCCTTTAACGAATTTTCATATCTGATACTACTGTCAACTGTATTGTTTAGTGTATACTTGTACTTTTTTTCGTATATTAACTGTTAAGCAACAAAAAAAAAAAAAAAAAAAAAAAAAAAATTTTGCAAGCAAAAAACTCAAAATTTTCCTTTTTTATTTAATGTATTTTGAACGACATTTATTCTATGTAGTTTAAACAACATTTATTCTATGCAGTTTGCGCAAGAATTCTTTTAATCATTATCTAATAATAGAAAAGGAAAAAAAAAAAAAAAGACAAAAGAAAGTGATTTATATTTATGAAAAAAGTATACCTTTATGAAAGCCATAAACTGCTCCTGTAAACCACATTAGGAGAGTGTGGGACAACAGCGGGAGTTTAAGCTCTCGCTTCCCCCCGAGGCCTGATAGACAGAAATTATAATTCGGATTATATTTATATATAAAATATATATATATTCACTGTTTGAAATTGATTGTTAAGTGAGTTAGCTATTGTAATTTTGTCAGAGCTAATGATCTCCCTGGAACTGGTAGTTCACATAGCTGAGATCTGATTTGTTACTGAGCGTTTACTATTTATGTATGAAAATAGTTATTTAGGGTTGCGTCTACCATTGGCCATTACCATTGAGCAAATTTACCATTACCATACCATTACCATTGAGCAAATCTGACAAGTTTACCATGAATTCGTGAAAATAGATTGGATAGCATTGATTGAAAGCTTAAGAAATCTATTAAATTATAATTCATAAAACTAAACAATATAAACAGAGACTTTTATTTTTAAATATAGCAAAAAACCATTTGACTGCTAATTGCTAATAAAAAAGGTTTGGTAATAAAAAGGTTCTGTGTTAAAAAATATATATATATTCTACAATGCAACACTACACAACACAGTTTTAGAAAGAAAATCAATCAAGCAAGAGACACCAATTAATTGCTGTTTATGTTATGCTTTTGTTGTCCAGATTATTTCCCCTGTACAGGACTGTTTATAAACAATATCAACTTTATGATCAATCTCTTGTGAGATTTTCAAGGAATACAAATAACAAATTTATTTTTACAAATATATAAATGTATATATATTTTATTCATCTTATGCACAATAGTACTCTAAAAAATAGTTTTAAAAAATTTATTATTTTAAAAAATAATCTAATAAAAAAACTAAAAATGACAAAAAATAATTACCTGTAATTTGACTTTTTTTTCATCAACAATGATTGTTTTATTCTGAATTTAAATAAGAGAATTGATATTAAATGCTTCTTGAAATTCACAAATAAACACACAACACTAGTTAATGTTTCATGATGGAAAATATTTAACAAAATAGAAGTTGAATAAAATTAAATTGTCAAATTGAATTCAAAGATGTCAGATATTTTATGATTTTAAAAAATTTTGAAAAATTATATATTTAAAAATTATATACTTACAAAAAAAAAATTATTTATTTATAATTTGGTTTGATTAATAAAAAGGGCTTTCCTTTTAGAAGCACAAGTCAAAATATGACAGTATTCCACCAAAAGATGAATAAAAGATTTACAGAGGCAGAGAATGGAACCAAAAGTAAGAATAAGAAGAATAAAGAGAGGCAACATTAGCAGATGTTAAATTTGCAATGGACTGTATATATATTTTCTATGAGAAGTTAAGTAAAGGATTCTGTTAGGATATTATAGGCTTTGTTAGAGGTAAGGTTTTTAGATAAACTATTAATATAGATGAGAAACAACACAGGACTAAAGATGGAACCTTGTGGTACCCCAAATACAAAAGTTAATATAATTTTATTATTACTTCAATAAGTTTCAAAAGAAGATGGATAATGATTAAAATGAGTTACTATATTTTTACAAGATATCGATATTTTTAATATACATCTGGGCAAATGAATCACAATTAAACAAAACAACAAGTTGCAAAGCGTGTAAAAAATTCAGCAAACTATTGTAACCTGCCTCTCTTTTTTTTAGCTACCATATTTAATAAGGTGTACATTTAGTTGTTAGAGATAATTAGCTATAACAACTAAATTTTTCGAAATTTGAAACTAATATCTTTATCTTAAGTTATCTTAAAGTAAGCAATGTTACTTTTTTGGTCAGTTTTTTGAAAAGTTTAAGTAAGCATTTTAAGTTTTCATTAAGCATTAAGCAATGGTTTTTTACACTTAATGAAACCCTAATTCTGAATCAAGATTATTTAGGTTAACTTACTAGGAATATCTGGCAAAGCAAGATATTATCTAAAAGCCTCAAATAGTTAAATTCTTATATTCTTACATATGAATATTGTTTATACATATTATTCATAAGAAAAGTTATTTATTAAAATAAAAAAAAGGAATTCCAATTTGAAGCTACAATAAAAGTCATTCATTAAACATTAAATTGCTTCACATATATATTTTGATAGTATGCAGTTTGCATTGTAAACATGGTATAAATTGTAAACATAGTTGGATCTGCTATTGCAGCCAACCTCCAACCGTTGTCACATTGTCGTAATGTTGTTTCTCTTTCTATTTTCTATAAATAGAAAAGAGAAAGAGAAATAGTGACTGTTCCTAAGTGCTCCAAAAACTCTTATTTGTCTAGTTTTTTTTCTCAAAGATTGGTTTTTGAAAATTTGCTTTGATAGAATTCATTAGTTACCAAATGAGCAGTCAAACTAAGAAATAGGCATTTTCCATAGGTAGATGTTTATCCATCAGCTGTAAATGAAAAGAATGAAGCATCATTTACATCATTTTGAATACTTTCTCTAACTTTGTTGTATATATTCTGAAAAACAGAATTTTGAATGTGCTTTTTACTTGGAATGCAACAGTTAGGAGGTCTTTTAAAGGTTGAATATCAATTGCAATCATTTCTGCAATATAGTTATTAATTAATTTAGACCTGTGATCATTAATGTCCCAGAGTTTTTTCTCTCTCAAGTGTTCAAAATAAAGTTTGTTGGTGCTGTCTTTTGTTTTGTTTTTCTTCTTCATCTTGGTATCTAAAAGCTAACATCTTGGTACCAAAAGAATAGCATATTAGCAGCTTACAAATTTAATAGGGTTCTAGCCATCTGGTGTATCCAAGGACAAAAGGGGACCAAACCATCATATTTAGCAGCAATAAATAGCAATTTTATTTATAAAAAAGTTTTTTGTTTTTAATTTAGAATTTTTTTTTTTAAATAAGAGATTTTTTTTTTAATTTCTAAATGCAAGATGTTGTCATTTGCTACCGGACCACAGCCATATATAGGAGGTTCATAATTAACTTAGGGGGAAGGTAAGGGTGATGGTTTCATACACCCAATAATTTCTAAAATGACTTATTTTATAAATATTTTTATCTGTATAAAAAAAGGAAATCTAATATCAAAAATAAGTTATATTTTACAACATCACTAGTGTCGCACCCGTCGACTCAAAAGAAGAGGTGTGTCATTGACCCCCCTCTCCCTAATGATAGATTATAAGCTAAAAATAACACCTTTTGAAAAAAATTTAAGATGCAATTAAGCATAGAAAGGAGCAGCAAATCCCCTCTGATTTTGAAAAATTAAAAAAAAAAAAAAACAATATATCTTAATTAATTTACATCTTGGCTTTTAGTTAATGAATAACACATTAAATTCCATTAATGAAAATTCATAGTCAACAATAACCAAGACATGAACATAAATCAGAACTGCTTATCAAAATTAGCAAATTCAGCTACTGCTATACATTTTTGTATGTTCCATTACTTGCTTTACATTTTAATTATGAAATTAATGACCCAGATTTCACCAAAATTTGGGCTTTTGGTGCCCACTTTGCTATTGCATAAGTAATATTATTACATATAGCAACATATTTAGGTTAGAAAAACATCAACTCAAAAATTAAGTTTTTTCATGTAATAGTCAATAGCTTTAGAATCATTTTTATTTAAATTTCAGTAAGAAATAGTTTAATTAATGCCTTTCTGTATATTTTTAAGTTTTTCTACTATGACATTATACAAGATAGTCATTGTTGAATCAGTACCATATCATTCATAGCAGAGATTCTTCTAACAATTTTTCACATATAATATCGTTTAAATTTTCAGTTTGCTTAATAGACAGGTTTATAAATAAACTTAGAATTTGCTAATAAATGCTAGAAATTCAATGCTAATAATTTTTATTTTTTTAATCAACTTTTTTGCATTTAAAAAAAATCTATCATTTAGAAATCTCAGCTCTAATTTCAGCATTTTTTAGTTTGTATGTGCTGCCATACATACATACATAAATACATACATACATACATACATACATACATACATACATACATACATACATACATACATACATACATACATACATACATACACAACCTCGGAATTAGGGTCAGCATTCAGCAATGCCCAACCTAACTGCTGACCTAAAAGGTGTTTGAGGTCAGCAAAAAATTGCTGACCTCATTTTTTATGTTTTATGGTAAACTTTTTGTATCAAATTTTTTTGCCAACCTAGTGCTGACCTCTAACAGTTTGAGGTTGGCTATTTATTGCTGATTGAGGCAACAAAACACATTACTATCACCCTTTTAAAAAAAAAACTTTAAAAAGCATGGCATATATATTTTGGCCATTTAACAGTTCTGTTAAATTCGAATTTTGTTGTACATATCTCAACCATATATTAAGAAGTTGTTAAAAATGAAAAGAAAAGGTGAAAAAGGACAGCAGATAATGTTAAGTACTATTTCAAAAATATCCCCATAAGTTGATCGTGTAGCTTGCTATATCACTATCACAAAATATGGTCGGAATAGTATTTTAACTTCGTCAACTGTGAAGCGATTAATTGAAAAATTCCGAGAGACAGGATCCGTGGGAGACGCCAAACACACTGGTCGTCCAAAAACAAGCCGTTCAAATGTCAATATAGAGGCAGTGCGTGCAAGTGTCGGTGACAATCCAGGAAACTCAATTCGGCGTCGTGGACAAGAATTGCAAATTTCAAGAAGCTCTCTACAGCGTATACTTACTAAAGATCTGTGTCTCCATGCTTACAAAATTCAATTAACACAACTACTGAAGCCCAATGACCATGCACAGCAAAGAGAGTTTGTTGAATGGATTATTGAGCAACAACAAATGAATGCTGATTTTTCGAGTAAACTCATCCTAAGCGACGAAGCACATTTTCACCTTGATGGCTTTGTTAATCGCCAAAATTGCCGCTTTTGGGGTTCTGAAAACCCACATGTGATTGTCGAAAAACAAATGCATCCACAACGTGTCACAGTTTGGTGTGCATTTTGGGCTGGAGGCATAATTGGACCATACTTTTTTGAAAATGAGGCTGGTCAAGCAGTGACTGTTACTTCTGCTCGATATCGCGACATGATAACACGGTTCTTTTTGCCGAAATTGGATGATATTGTGGCAATATGTGGTTTCAACAAGACGGTGCCACATGCCATACAGCCCGTGAAACACTTCAATTATTGCATGAGACATTTCCAGGTCGTGTACTCTCTCGTTTCGGTGATCAGAATTGGCCCCCTAGATCGTGTGATTTAACACCATTAGATTTCTTTTTATGGGGATATCTAAAATCACAGGTCTACGTCAACAAGCCCACAACTACGCGTGCATTAAAGGAGGAGATTCAACGTTGCATCAACGAAATTCAGCCACATTTATGCAGAACGGTCATGGAAAATTTCGACAAACGAGTGCGTATGTGTATGCAAAGCCGCGGAGGCCATTTGCCCGATGTGTTATTCCATAAATAACCCTATCCTATGTACTTTATGAATCAATAAAAAAATTACAATCAAAAGACTAAAAACTGTGTTTTCTATTTAATTCAAATCTTGCGTTAATTTTGGGACACCCTTTATATATATATATATATATATATATATATATATATATATATATATATATATATATATATATATATATATATATATATATATATATATATATATATATATATATATATATATATATATATATATATGTATGTATGTATGTATGTATGTATGTATGTATGTATGTATGTATGTATGTATGTATGTATGTATATATATATATATATATATATATATATATATATATATATATATATATATATATATGGGACACCCTTTATATATATACATATATATACATATACATATATATATATATATATATATATATATATATATATATATATATATATATATATATATATATATATACATATATATATATATGTATATATATATATGTATGTATGCATGTATGTATGTATGTATGTATGTATGTATGTATGTATGTATGTATGTATATATATATATATATACATATATATTAAATATATATATACATATATTAAAAATATATATATATATGTATTTCTATATACACTTATATAGAAAGTAAAACTTATAAAAATTACAAACAAGTTCACAAGTTTTAAACATAAATAAACATTTAAAATATACCCTGAAGTCTATTCCTACTGTTGAAATAAAACTTCCACTCAAAAATGCACCATCTTTAAATCTAATAAGTAAACAGGTTTTTCCAACTCCGCTATCACCAATAAGCATTACCTAAAAAATTAAACAAATACTACAAAAAAAAAAAAAAAAACTTTTTTCTTTTCAAAATCTAAAATATGTTTTTTTTTGAATTGTAAAATCTTTAAAGATTAAAACTTAAAAAAAGATAAAAACAAACTGGCATAAAATTAAATTGATATAACATCTAATATCTTTATCTATATTTAAAAAAGTCAAAGAATTGTAGGAGTTTTAATAAGAACTAAATAATAAAAAATATTAAATATTTAATTACATATTAAATTATTTAATAACCATAATTTATTAGGATTTTAATAATAAATATATATATAAAAAAAACAATAAGAAGAAGAAGCTAGGATGTCTAATTCTATTGAAAAGAATAGACTGCTCAATAATTTTTTATTTCAAAATTCATAACTTTGAAGAGAAATTTAGTATAGCTAATTTGATCAAAAATGGACTATAAAAAGTCCAAGTGTTGTCAGAAATAATGATATCTACAATATTCAGTAGCTTCATAATTAGTAACCAATGGCCATAATAGTTGGCAGAAGAATATCATAAATGTAAACTATGTATATATGACATAATATAACTAGTGCTCTTTAGTTTTAAGGTTTTCGGAAAAACAAATTTAAAATTAAAAATTTTAAAATGTTTATTTATTGCCATAATAGATTGCTATCATATATGAATGTTTTTTGCAGAAATCCAAAATATTTTTAGTTACCCCCTTAAAAATTGATACCAACAATGATACAAATGTTAAAAAGCAAAGCTAAAAAAACCTTAGCCAATATGTGTACATAAATAACAAAAAAAAAAAAGTATAATAATAAAAAAATTTATAAAACAATCAAAACAGACATTTCCTAGTCATGAAGTTGTTTATTGGTAATTTAAAAAAAAATAACAACAAATTATTCAATAGTATTAAAAAAAAAACTGTGTTATAATCATAAACTTTTTATAATTAGTTATGGTTAAGTAATCATTCATATAAAATGCAAATGCTGTTGAACTTTCTATATTTGCATTTAATTATTTTTTAAACTTCTAGTTGACTAAAAAACCAAACATTGAAATTATTTTATTTCTTCAGACAATATGAGCCAAAAATTTTCAGAAAAAAAAAACGAAAATGTTGACAGAAGACTTAAAAAAACTAGACAAATAAAATCATAAAGAAACAGATACAGCAGAATGCAGGGAACATAGCTGAATGACAATTTACACAAAATTTACTTTTGGTTGCGAAACAAGAGATAATCGCTTGAGCAGCAACCATTGGTACTATTTATAAAATGTATATATGGTTTCCATGAGGTCAGTTATAAGAGATAATATGAAAGAAATTAACTAGACAACTCAGTAAAAGTGTTACCATAATACTGGGTTAAAATTTACCAAATACTGCAAGCCCCAGAAAAGAGTCTAATCAAAAAGTGTCAAACTTTTTTTAAGTCACTTTGGAGTTAAGATTTTTTTAAATATTATTGATATAGATTAGAAATATTCCAGGGTCAAGAACAAAACGTTGCGAGACCCTAAAACGATACCCTGCTGGAAATAAAGCAAAGTGTACATATGGTTCCAATGAGATCAGTGATTAAAGATAGTTCATCAAGGATGACTTTAATACTGTGGTTAGTAAAGAACGATTTAACATTTTTCAAAATTTTTCCAGATATACTATAAAAGAGAACTTATGGAGAAGCTCAGCATGTCAGAATATATTAAAAGTTTTTGATATGTCATATTATAGTATAACTGAAGTTAATTTCACAACGCCAATCAGAATAATGCAGTATTAAGTCAGTAATTAAAAATGCATCAACAATTATAAGATCTTAGTGAAAAGATTTCAGTCCACTAATATATTAAATAGAAACTATATTTACACCTGAATAATTTATTGAAAAATCGAGTGTACAAAATATGTAAGGATTCTAATTATAATAATTTAAAACCATATATAGAAATTACCTTGAAAGCGTAATCAAACGGATTCCTTAAACTAGGACAATCTCTTGAAAAATTATTATTAGACATTTCAGTTTATAAAAATTTAAATATTTGACATAATTCTAAAGTTAATGATAAAGCAGCAGTTTAAATACACATGGCAGCAAAACTATTGGGCTAACCTTTTTATTTACTAAAATTTAAAGTTAACAATAAATTCTTTTCGCGACCTCTAAAAATTGTTTGTAAAATAATTGAAAACGAGGTTTAAATTAAAAAACTACAAAATATGAGGGAAGAATTTAGACGTTAATGGGAGGGAGAATTGAAAATAGGTTTATTTACTTGTTAAATGAAATACGGTTTTTATAAAAGATTTCATAGAATGATAAAAATACAGATGATATTAATTGCATGCTTGAAAATTTCCAAAATACTTTTGTTTTTTTAGTTTAAATTATATTATTCACTTATAAACAAAATGAAACCTCTAATCATACAAAAAATAAAAAAATTAAAGTTATTAAAAAATTTTAAAAGCTTAAAAATAAAACAACTATATTTTTAAAACCACTTATTTACAATTGCGATTTTGAATTGCAGTGGCCTAAAAGAGTTGTATAAACAACTCTTTTTGGCCACTGCAATTCGAAATCTTTAAACAGTATACCATTATGATTGCCAATCAAATCAAACCTCGAATCTTAAAAATATTAGTTCTTTTACTATTTAAACTGTTTATTCGAAATCACTTTATTTATAATCACAAAATGATATTATTGTTTCATCTTATTTTAAATTACTTAAAATATGACGTGACTCGCCCATGGTAACTATAGTTACCTTTTCGCTTGTCTTTTGTCTCTTTGAAAAATTCAGATCCTATAAGAGCATATTTTATTATTTGACTTAACTTGTATATAAGATAAAGTCAAATAATAAAAAATACTCCAAATTTTTCAAGTAGATAAATAGTTGCCATTTAGTAAAATGGAGCCCACACTTAAATGTTTCGGAAAGGCATTGTAAGACAATATTCAAAACAAAAATTAACTAAAAATGTGTTATGATTGGTGAGCTTGCTAGCTCACAAACCATCAAACCTAAAATTTGTCCTCATACTCTACTAAATATCCTAAATCCACCGAATCAAAAAACCTAAAAGTCACCTTCCTTCTTCACTAATTGGTCTGGATCCGCCCCTGTCTGGATTGGAAAAAAATCATTCAAAGGCGCTTGTTCTCTATTTACATTGTATACCTCTAAAAAAAGTTAAGTAAAAAAGAAATAAAAGATCGTAACTTAACAAAATAAAAAAAAGTAAGAATATAATGTCTAAGTCAAAGTTGTTTCTTAAAATAATGCAATTTTTAGATTTTGATTCTGCATAATTCTGTGAAAATTTCAGATTTAGATTCAAATTTTTTACAGAATTTTATATAAGTTAATTAAAATCGAACTTGTGGAAGCTTTTATTTTTTAGCCTACACGGTTTTCTTTCTCACATTTTAAAAGGAAAAAACGTAATTTTATAAAATAAATTTACATTATACTCCAAAAGCCTTATTATTATTTTCTTGATTGATTTCTAATAGGTGGAAATTTACAGCTGTTGAAGAAATAAGATAAAAATATAAAACTATCGCTTTGATTTTTATTAAAATGTCAATTGTGAACAGCTGCATCATGTGGTCTGAAAAAAAAAATAATTTGAAAATAAGAAAACATTGACTATTTAAATGGACCATATTTTCTTATTCTCAATTTTTTTTTTTTTTCAAAAGCTTCAATTATGCAAAACAATTACAAATATTTGAAGTGTAAAAAAAAAATGATTTGAGAATAAGAAATTATGGCCCATTTAAACGAACCATATTTACAGTAATTACAGTATCACAGTATTGCGTAATTAGAACTTTTTATATTAGATTTTCGCAAATCTGGAATTAAAGACACTTTTCGGTTATTTCCAATCTCTGTGCAATACAATCTTTAATGCTGTTTTTCTAAATTTTGTTAAAAAAGTCTAGATTTTTTAGATCATTTATCTTTACTTGATTAAACACTGTGTCGAGTAGATAAGATACTTGAATAAACTTTTAAAGTAGTTATCACGCAAAGTCCGGTTTCAACAACTGCAAAGGGCAATCCGATAAAATTTCAAACAGGATTGAACAGGATTACTTAGGAATATCATGATTAAAAACAGGTGTGTATATGATACCGGTTTTTGCGCACGAGTGATGCATAATCCAATTTGTTTTGTTAATATATAAAGTTAATTTACTAGCTTTAAATCAATAAAAAATATGATTAAGTTTTTTTGTTTGTAGTTGAAAATACTTTATAAATATCGGTATGGAATAAATTAGTTTCATTAGGGAACATTATACTTTTCAATTTAGAAGCTTTGTTTAAACTGCTTACATTGATTATAAATAGTCTAGTCACTAATCGCCTATATACTTAATACACTTTTATAGTCTAATCGCTTATATACTTAATATGAATCTAATCATCAATATACTTACAAATCAAGTTAAGTCTTGAATTTTGAAAATGTTCCTCGTTCATGAAAAAATTTTTAAGTTTAGTAACAACTTTATAAACAGTTGCTTGGTTTTTAGAAGAATGCCAGATCTTTGACAATAATAATCATTAGATGCAGAAAAATGAAAGAATAATATAAATATCATAAACTATTGAAATATATGAACCTATTTCTTGTTCAAAAGTAAAAAATTAAAGGAATTTTTTATAATCAGGAATATGACATTTGCATATTAACGTTTTTACTTTATTTGCATAACACAAAAGATTTAAAAGGTTTCCAGTTTGTTACTTTTTTACTTTTGCTTGGTGGAGCAACAAAAATGGAAAAATAACATCAATTTAAAAACTTTATCATAAAAATAACGGAAAAATAACATCAGTTTGATCATACCGATGCTATTTTTCCATCAACGACATGGTTTGCTGCCATTAAATACCACTGAAAGTCCATTTCAGTCTATGGCGCTAAAAATTTGTCAGAAAACAAACCAATAAAAGTTAACTGGTATGTTGTTTATATCTTTTGATTTTACAACGTCATGAAACTGATAGTTCTCAGTGGGGCAAGTATATTTGTCGTTAATTGATTTTTCTAATTTAAACGGTAACACAGTGGTTAGAAATACTGACTTTAAATCAAAATGGTCTGATGCTAAATCTGTAATATTGTAAGAAATGTTAGCCCTCAGCTTTTGGTGATCTATCTCACCTGAATTAGTTTTTTTTTTTTAAATATGTCTTTCTACAAAATATAAAATAAGTATACAAAAACAATTATAGAACAGTGTTTTTATGTTTTTATATGCGCTTTTTTGGGTTAAGTAATGTTTAGATACTACTCGAGTTTCTGATTACCCGCTGTTAAAAGTTTCGTAAAACTTAATTTTAAAATTGATTATAGTTGCCCAGCCATCAATATTATCAATATAACAAGCACAGCAAAGCAGTTATCTTTCGGCCGAATTTAACAACAATCCACTACTTCAAGAAGACAATGGAGAGTACAATCAAATTGGCATCGAAGTTGTTTAAAAAAATGCAATCCTACACACTATACTGAGTAATGCGTTAGCGAGAGTTACTAGCAAATTGTAAAAGGAATCTAGCTAAAAAACAACACATCAGCAAAAGATGACAAAAAATTTAGGCAAAAATCGACAGCAGCATTGAAAAAGATCACAGAAAAACACGAGTTATTGCTAAGTATATCCGGCAGGAATGCATTGAGCCGATATATATCGATATGTACCAAAAATTCTTGTACGTTGATTATCAATTTTAGTAGAGATGTTAAAAATAGTGATTTTGCCGAATACTGAGTATTCGGCTGCCGAATATTCGGTGACAGTTATTTTAACCAGTGCTTCGGACGAGCGCCTAACCGAATAATTTATAACTAATTTTGTTTGCTGATGATTCCAATCATTTTTGTTCTCGCGGAGATGTTAAAACACTTTTTAAAATAGTTAATGAACAGTTATGTAAAGTTGCGCTAGTCAAAAAGCCTTGTAGGATATCTTATAAAAAAGATTTAAGAAATTGGAACAGGATTTTCTTTAAGATAACGCAATTGAATACAACCTATAGGAATTTATTTAGGATAAGGTTCGTATACAATCCAAAATTTTATAGGAATCTTATCCTATAAGACACCAATATAAAAGTTCTATAGGTATGGGAGCACAGAAATCCTATTCAATCCTGTTCCAAAACCTTATAAGAGTTTTATTATAATTAAAACAAACCAAAAAAATACCAACTTTAATTTTTGAATATCTTATAGTTCTATATGCACAGAAATCTTACATATTTGAATAGGATTTCTGTACATATAAAAAAATAGAATATCGTTCATTCAATGTCTGATAGGGTAAAAACTTCTATAAGATTTTGGAACAAGATTGAATAAGATTCCTGTATATATAAAACTATAAGGTAATGCTCATTCAGTGTCTTTGTTCAAATGAACAACATCTTATAGTTTTATATGTACAGTAATCCTATTCAATCCTGAAATTTTATCGGAGTGCCCTTTGCAGTTGTTGAAAAATATTTAATAGGAATATCCTCTATATCATGATTAAAAACAGGTGTGTATATGATATTGGTAAATCTTGGACATTATCTTTTAGCTCTTTATTTAATAAAAACTAAGGAATTAAATTCATAAAACAAAAAAGAAAAGAATAACAAAATATTAATTAAGTCAGCCAGTTAGTTATTGTTATTAATTATATCAATTATTACTATTAATATATCAAAACATCAGTTTTCTTTTTACAATTTTGTTTTCATCATTGCTCTTTGTATTGTTTGCTTTTTTGAATATGGCATAATTTTCTTTGGAAATCGCTTAGCAAAGAAGTCTAAAAACAAAAATATGAACAAACTAATAGTTATATATTATATTCATTATACAAAACATGGGGAAATAGTATTTGCAAATAAAATATTATAATATCAATACCTAATATGTCTTGAACCTTCCTTGAGTCCAAAGCTGGCTTAGAAATGCTACCTTTGCCTAAAGTACATCGACCACCTGTCAATTAATGACTTTATAAAACTTTACCCCCAAAACTACAATCGCCAAATCTTTGACATTATTTTCTGTTTTAATTCTGATTTATGTTTATATATATATTTGTACTTAACTGTAATATAAACCTTTTTATATATATATGGGGCTTGGTGATAGGAGCTAAATGCCTTCTTCTTGTTCCAGCCATTTTTATAAATTACACCACACTTACACACACATAAATAAAAAAAAAAAAAAGAAACATCGGCATTAGTGAGAACTGTCATAAATGTGAACTAGCGTAAGTGCACCAAAAGAAATTGCAACCATTGATATTAGTGCAAAATGGCGTAGGTGCGATTCGGCATTTGCTATAAGAATTTGCAATTTTGTTCGGCTCACGTACCCCAATTTTTACCTAGCACTTAAGACAGTTCGATCTTATGCAAGTTTTTTATTGAAATCTCGCCAGTTTTTGTAAAAAGCACTTATGCCAGATCGTACTAATGAAATTTGCACTTCTTCAGTGGCCCTCTTTTTTACTAATGCAAGTTCCAAAACAAATTTCAAGAGATTAGGTAAACAGAGCAAACAAACAAACAAAAAATTAAATGCTCTGAGAATGTTAGTAATAGGTTAATCCTTCTCAAAGAAAAACTGCTTGACACGGATGAACCAAAACGGGTGTCTAGTAGCACCGGTGATGATTTATCACCACTTTGTTATAAAAAAAGACATAAATAAAAACGATCAAATCAGTAAATAAAAAAGAATCTCTAAAGAAAATATGCAAACGTATGAAGATGTGAAAATAAAAGTAAAATTGAAAACGAAATTAGTTTTTACACAAAACTGTTCGCTTAAATTGGAATCCAATTTGATCAAATTATGCACGAAAATATCATTGTATACCAGCAACTTTTGTAACTTTGAAGAGGGTTTTTTCTTACGTTGGTAATGTTGTTACTCCCAGAAGAACAACTTTGGCGGATAAAAATGTTGAAAATATTGTTTGTATAAATAAAAATATTAAAAAAATAAAAATTAATTTTTAGTTTTCTTTGGTATTTTTAAAAACATGTAATTCTAAATTTATTAAATAATAGACCTCTAAAACTTTGTTTAGTTTTTAACCGAAACCGAACCGATCAAAAATATCATTATTATATTATATAAGTGCTGCTACATCGACTGACAAATAACCTGAATCGCAACGGAGCGCTGCTACATCGACTGAGGGTTTGATTTGGGCAGGCAGTCTATCAAATAATTAAAAAAAAAATTATTATGCTTAAAATAATCCATTATAATAATTTTTTTTAGCGGATGTAGCTACATCCGAAAAAAAATCAGATGTTTAATTACATCTGGTAATGCATAATTTAAAAACTTAAATAATTAAATAATGCATAATTAAATAATGCATTATTAAAAAACTTTTTTTTTCGGATATAGTTACATCCGAAAAATCAGCAGACGTAGTTGCACGGATGTTATTACACATCGATGAAATTTCGGATATTGTAGGACAGATATTATACATCAATGAAATTTGGGATGTTGTTGCACTATTCTTCTTATACATCGATAAAATTTCGGATGTTGTTAGACAGATGTTATTAGACATAGCAAAAACGGATGTTGTTACATTGACCCAAATAAATCATCAAGAAATTATCAGACATCTTAAATTAAAGCTTTAAATTAGCTTATTTAGAGAACATTTATGTAAATGATTTTTTTAAATCGTTTTAAGCAACAATGACGATACGCAAATTGGATTGGGGCTTAACGTTTTCAAAAAGGTTATACCTTTAAATAAAAAACAACAAAATTTTCTAACAACCAAACTGATTTATTTATTTGAAAAAGATTCAAAATGGTTTATAATAAGGTTTGTAACAATAAACATTATAAATATAAATTTTGTAGGAAAAAAAAAAAAAAAATCTATAACTTCACAGTAAAAACGACGGGCTTCGTTGATTGCAAACGTGGCGGTGGGACGTAGTGTTGCATTGCGCTTTGAGAATGTCGACTAAGGAGACAATTAAAAATAATAAAACAACCATTATAGCGTAATTAATGATAAAAATAAAATTATTAGTAATATTTATATACTAAAAACATAAAAATTACAAAAATTAAAAGAAATCAACTGTAAATGATTGTACAAATAAAAATATTTTTAATTCAATTTAAAGGCAGATAAATCAAATCAAATATATTTCGAAATAAGCTATAACATTTCAAGGAAATTTATAACAGTACAAGGATTAATATGAAATAAATACAGCGGAAAATTTTTTTTTATATCTTTAAAATATAATCGCTATCATCAATTATTAGTATAAAGTGATTGCTCATAACTCATTGATGCTCATAACACTTAAAATATAATCGCTAAATATAATATAATCATTGATGCTCATAACTTTAAAATATAATCGCTAGCATCGATTATTAGAATAAAATGATTGCTCATAACTCATTGACTCACAACACATTGATGTTCATTGCTAATACGACTGGAATAAAATCTTGTTTAAAATGAAAGTCACTTTTTGAAGAACATTTTGCCTCACATTTTTAATAACTTCTATTGCAATTCTTAGTTTGTGCACTTGATCTTGTTAGACGATTTCTATTGTAATTCTTAGTTTGTGCACTTAATCTTGTTAGACAATTTGTTGAATGGGCTTTAAGATTATTTGATGCTACAATACTAATAACATTATATAAACTGCTATTAATTACTCAGACTTGTATTCATAATTCTATATAATAAAAATTATTTTTTTACAATTTTTTTGCCGTTATTCGAGTTTATCAAAATCGGACTTTTTGCAACTTCGGGCAACTTATCCAGCTGCCTCCAGACAATTTTATAAATTTGCTAGTTTTACAAAAAAATAATAAAAAATTGAAAAATAATAAATTGCAATGAAATGTTTAATTTACATTCATTATAAACAGGAATGTTTTGATTACATAATTTATTTAATAGGTAATTTATTTTTTAAATTAATCTTTCTGGCCATTTTATCAAGAAAATCTTTGATTAGTGTAAAAAAATCAAGATTTCCAGCAATATTGCTTTTAACTGATAAGGTAAATAAACTTGAAAATTTACAAAACAACATTGACAGTAGGTAATGTTAACGAAAAATTCACATTGCCAAGTGCTTGGATACAAATCATATGTAAACAGCATTTTGAGCTGTTTTATAAAAATGAAAGCATTAGGTGAAATAATTTTATTGATGACTACTGCATAATAAAAAGATTTGCTAACGCTGACTATTTCAATAAAGAGGAGAACACCATTATTATTCGGTGTTGAACTTGTTTGAACTTTTAAGAGCTATACACAATTTTAGATTTCTTTTCTTTCATGCTAACTATCAATGTAATACAAAAACACATCTAAATTTCTAAATAATTTTTTTAATTGTGTAAATTTTACTTTCATTGAATATATGAGCCCAAAAGAGGAAAAAAAAAATTTCTATTTTTCTTAGATTTGATTGGGATTTTTATCTAAAGTGAATACGTCAAAATGATGTTTTGAACGCTTGTATTGTTTTTATCCCCTTTAAAAAAAACCCACTTGTAATTCTTCTAAAAGATATTAACAGGCATTTTTTCTTTTTATGGCATTTAAATATCTCAGGCACATGACCCATCTCCTCGTTTCTGGTGCTTTGGGCCCTGGAAACAATTTTAACATGCACGCTTATCAGCACTTCAGAAAGCCCAAAAGTATCAGAGCTCCAACTAGCCTATAAGCTAGAGAAAAATCAACTTCAACATTCTGCTACAAAAAAAAGTGTGGAACATACCCGATTATCCATATATAGAAATCCATACACTTGCAGATCAAAATCCTTATGTTTTCTGAAAGATTAAGGAATATAAAATGTGTAAAACATTTTTTTTTAAATAATCAAGGCTACATGAGTTTCTTAGGCATTACAAAAAGGTATATAAAAAATTGCCTAAATTTAACAAAAATGATAAATACAGGCGCTAAAATAACATTTTGTTATGTTTATGATCATTTTATTGGATTTCTCAAACCAAAAATAGCTAGATACAAATAAATCTAAATAAATATTGCAATTCTGAGGAGACAAGAAGGGCCTGGCCAATATCTGTCTGTCAAAGGAACCACTCATACATACAATATTGCAAATATATGAATGTATTTAATAAACTTAGGCACTCAAAAGTATTAAAACTCTAATAATTCAATAAAAACATTTAACATTTTTAATTACCATTTAACATTTTTAATTAATACTCAAATAGTGGCGGACACATACAAATCATGATGACCGTGGATGCAGAGTTGGGAACCCTGCCCTAGAGTAAGCCATGCATTAAAGTGCAAAAACTTTTTTATTCACATAGCTAGACAAATTTATTTTGAGAAGAGAGTAGCAAACTTTGTTTTGGATGGAGGGAAAAGGATTGTGGGAAAAGTAAAAAAGGAGTAGGATCAGATGCATCAAAACCTCCACACATTGCTGTGTTTCATCTTGGGCCAGTAGGTGCAGTCAAAAAATAAGAAACTATGGTATATCAAAAACACATTTATTATTATTAAAAAATTATGTAACTGTTTGAAGTGTTACAAAAAAGCCAAAACACTAATCATATTTGTGACAAATAATATTACCTATCTACTACTTTAAATGATTTGATATATTATTTAGAAAATTTGGGATTCCATTAATCAAAGTAGTTCACATTTTAAAGCAATTATATTCATGATTTATGGCAAAAACTGATTTAAAATCATGTTTTAGATGTTACATTAATCAATTTAGGTTAGCCAGAGTAATTTCTTAGGCAAAGTATAAATTTAGGACTTGGCAACGGAGTGCTGCTAAATCGACTATCTTATAACCTTACATGCAACGAAGTGCTGCTACATCAACTGACAAATAACCTGACTTGCAAGGCAGTGCTGCTACATTGACTGAGGGTTTGTCATGTAATGTATATATATATATATATATATATATATATATATATATATATATATATTACATGACATTAAAAAAAAAAGTCAAATTAGCTTTTGAAGTGTTAACTGGTCAGCCAGAGTTAACAAACAACTTATCATATTGACCTAACTTCAATTTTTATGTTAAAAACAGATTACCTTAACAAAAAAATGAATCTTTATACTTATTGTCTTCAGAAAAATGATAATCTTAACTTTAGCACGTTTTTGTCCTCCACGTGTTGATTTGTTAATAACAATGGTATAAAAATAATGTTAACAAAGATTCACTTCTTTTGATCAAAACTATCCTAGTCTATAAATTTTTATGAAAATAAAAAAAAGAGAAAAAGAGAAAAAGTTTTTAAATTCATTGAATCAAGTTTACTCTTTTTAATAGGTAACTATCAAAAATCCAATTAAATACTAAATAAATATACTACATTTTACAACATCCACACAAATTAGAATTTATTTACCTGGATCGACCTATGATTCCACTGTTATTCATATCATTTTCATCAGTAGTTGTTAGTTTTAGTATCATGGGTTGACCTAGTGGAAAATGCAAGTAATAAAAAATATTAACATAGTAGAACTTAAACATTAAATAAAACTATTAAATAAATTTGTTTTCCTCACCATCAAGATTTCTTCCATGGTATTTACTGTAAGCAGCAAATGCATCGTCTGTATTTTTATAAATTACTTCTGCACTTCCTAAACCTGTTAATGAGGCACGTCGAAGATCTCCTAGCACTCCAAACAATTCCTTAAATACACATATAAATTTAATAAATTTAAAAAACAATATACACATAAATTTGATTTATTTTACAAAGTAACACAGTATTAAAGAAATTTTTTTTAAAAAGACAATAAGCAGAAAAAGGAAAATTTTTAAACACATTCAGCAAGATTTAAGTCAAATAAAAAACAACAACACAAAAAAAACAAAAAAATCAAACAAACATATAGCTACTAAAACAAGAAAAATTAAAAATAATTTATTTTATGTAATATATTTCATATAAATGTGTATTATATTTACTAACTTAATATGCACTAAGCTAAATTTACTAAACTAATATTATATTCTGAAAGTTATATAAAAAATCTTTTAAAAACTACTTTTTTAAGAATATCTTTCTAGCTGATTCCACATTTTTCTAGCTAAATATGGGAGGATTTCATAAAAGGTTCTACTTTTCTGTTTAAAGAAAAAAACAAAATTTAAAAAAAGTGCAATACTAACAAAGCTGTTTGAACTATAAGAAATAAAAGTTTGAATTATAAGAATATACTCAAAAAATAATTATTTCAAGAAAAAGGAATTTTTAGACACAAAAGCAGATAAAATAAATGGGAAAAAAAATGTGCTACTACTTTGCAGAATACAATAGGATACAAAAAAAAAAAAAAAAAAAAAAAAAAAAAAATATATTATCAAGGATTTTACCTTAATATCATCATCAGTAACATTAGGATGTAGATTTGAGACGACAACCTTTGCAGCCAAAGATTGCTACAATCAAACACAGCATTCAGAGTTAATATATTTTCATACAAATCTTAGAAAAAGGTTACAACACAAATTTACCTTGCGATTTTCTGTAACATTTGATTGACTATTTGATTTGACAAGTTTAGATGTTGTGCATGTAGATTTCTCTGTAGAAGGACTATCTTTAGGAAAAAATAAACATAATAAAACCTTCAATACAGTAAAAAAACAAACAAATAATAAACCATTAAATAAATAAAATAATGATAAATCTATAAACTTACCTATAAGTGAACATTGTGTTGTATTTTTTGCAACAACTTTTATTGATTTTCCAGTAAATATAGATTGCCTCTCCTTGTTGTGCTTGGGTTGAATGTGTCTGCTAATTACTGTCTTTTTAGGTGAATCAATAACTGATCTTCTTAGGGATTCCTGTTTTTTATGTAATAATTTATTACTATGTTGTCCAGAAAAATTTAAGATAATTGATATTTCATGTATGCATGCATGTGTACACGTGTGCATGTGTGCATGTGTGCATGTATGTATGTATGTATGTATGTATGTATGTATGTATGTATGTATGTATGTATGTATGTATGTATGTATGTATGTATGTATGTATGTGTGCACGTATATATTGTATTTATATAGCTTGAAATTTTGATTTGACAACTTTAAAATTTCAAGTCAGGTGAGGTTATGCTACTGGTAATATGTAACCCAGTACAACCTGTTTCATGTCCTGCTGCCATGTAAATTATACATTTTTAAGCATAAGCTAGGAGAAGCCAACTTTAACTTAAAAAATCCCCTTGCCTTGTGGACCTGAGTTGAATAAAGGCTAGAGATGGTGTTTCAATAGAAATACTTATCTTAAGCGAACATTAAATGCATCCAGCTACTGTCTTGCAGAAGGCCTCCTAGGCAAAGAATTAAGGGTTAAACAGATTCTATCTGTTAACCAGTCTGGTATTGATTTTTTATCAATTAGACTTGCTTAGATGTATTCATAATACATTGTCCAGTTTAAGATGTTGAATGCTGGATCTTCTTGACTCAATGCATGAGTTTTGCTTGTGTCTTTCTTTTTATGTCTAGACAACTTATTCTATACTCTCCTAATGAGGGTACAGCTCTAAAACTCAGTTTTATGGTTCTGAGGCCAGCTGTAAGTCAAGTTTCTTAAACTATATTGTAGTTCTAAGAAAAGCCGATTCCATCATAGTATCAGAGTACTTACAGTGCTGTGTTGCACATTGATTGTGTCTCTATTTGTACTTTTATTGTGCATTGTCAAGGCCACGTTTGGAGCCCTTTGTTACAGCTTAGGATTCATTGATAGTAATTGAGACAATTGCTTGAGTAATTGAGACAACTGCTTGGACTATTAAATAGTTAGAGCCAAGTTCTTTAACGAATTTCAAATGACTAAAGCACCAAAAACTATAAAACACAAAAAACCATCGTCATCACCAAGTTCTCTAAATCATTCACTAGCTGTCTCATCTTGTGGTCTTAATGTTGATAGTTACCTTCATTTAATTCGTAAAGACTCCTACAGTCACATGCTTAGCCTGGACATTTATATTTGTAAGAACTCACCCATTAGTCGAGAAACTATGTTTGAACCTACAGACTATTTTTTTATGTGCTTTTATTTAGCACCACTTCACTCATTTACCTTACTCTTTGTTCTATATTGCTACCCTTCATCTCAAGACTGCACTGTTTTGTTATTTTTGATCAAATTGACCAAGCTCTTTCTTATTAACCTTCAACCAATATTGTTGTTGTTGGAATGTTCAACACACTGAATGGCTTGCCTCTAATATCGGTGTCTCTGCAGGCCTTTTGCTTTTTTCAATCTCTAACACAAATAGCCAATTTTCCAACTCACTTCCCAGGCAATCCCAATCATTTACCTCCTCTATTTGACTTAAGTATTTTTTCTGATCTTATTCAGTGCTCAGTTTTTCTACATTTACACTTGCTTCTGATCACGACTTGATCACTCCAAAACTATCATCTCAAACTTCTTCATCATCAGGGTTCCCCTTATCATCAAACCTCTTACAACTACCTTAATGCTGACTGGGACTCTTTCTGTGATTTTCTTTGTGATGGCACATGACAAATGGAATCTTTTATTTCCTCTCGACAATTTTAGTCAAGCCTCACTCTTCTCTAAGGTTTTCCTTTGATTATGCTGCTGCAATTTTTAATAGTAACCATTACTTTCTTATCTATCAGCAAACCATTTTCCAAAAACAGACGTCTATATACTATTGCTAAAAATCATTTTAAAAAGGTTTTGTCTAACATTAAAACCTACTATTCTCAGGTCATGAAAATATTTTATATCAAAAATTAGACTCTCATGGTTTCTGGATATTTTTTAACAGTATCTATAATTAGGGCAAATCTGTTATTCCACCTCTCTTGTATAGTTTAGATTTTGTCACCTCACCTAAAGACAAAGCTGAATTGTTTGTGAAGAACTTCTCATCAATATCTTATCTTGATTTCACTAGTTGTGTTCTTCCTGATATAGCTGACAAACTGGTTGCTTGATTGCTTGATGTTCGTATCAAATACATTTAATATGTTATAGGTTATCACTTTAAATAAATTTTCTGTATTTAAAAAGATAACCTATCATAAGCAAGGTTTTTGAGTCTTTTTTTTACAAAAAACTTAACCTCTCAACTTAAATCTAATCATCAATATGGATTATAATATTTTTGTTCTAGGGCTGATTTGTTAACAATAATAAACGGTGTTATTGTGGATTAGAGAGTGGAGAGGTTAAGATTAATTATTATTATTATATTAGATTAATTATATTAATTATATTAATTATTCTGTGGAGAGGTTAAGATTATTGCTCTCTACATTTCTAAAGATAAAGTTTGTCATGCTGGTCTTTTTCAAATTCATTTCCATTTTCAAAATTCATGGGTGTAAGAGGTAAAAAAATGTTGGTGCTATAATAACCAATTAGAATTAAGTAGTGGATAATAAACCTCAGGAATGCACTTCCATCATCAATGACGCTTCAGAGAGCTTGAGATCTGCACTAATGCCACTCGTCAGGGGCGTTTCCTTGCAACAGATCTCATGGCCTGCACTCTACATCATACTAGTCAATATTGCAATTAAATAGGACTACACTACAAAAGCCAAATAATCTCAGTTTTTTTAAAAATAGCTCCAACATTCTTAGAGATCTTGTGAGGGTGGTGAAGGATGTGCGTGGTGTAGCTGTATATATGTGTATAAATACACGCACTCACAACATAAAAATATACACATATCCCTACATATATACATACATACATACCTTTATATAAATACATACATACATACACATAAACATATATTTATATACAAAATATTTACAAATATATTACAACATATATTAGAAATAGAAAAATCATTTTTTTCTTATCTTTTTCACAAAAACAACTCTCTTGAGAATAAATGCCTTTTTACTATTACAAGAAACCAATGTAAAAAATTGCTTTCTGATGCTTAGTTCTAATATTCTCAGTTTACTAAATCTTATATCTTATCTCAGAAGGTTAGGTTCTGAGACTTTTTTGTGAAAATGTGTCATAAACAAAGGTAGGTTGAACATTCCATGAATTAGTCTAATTCATGAGTTTCAACTAAGTTACTTATAGAACAAAAAGGATAATAGTACTTTGTACTTGTAAAAATGTTATTTAATGATATTAAAAGGTTTTTGCCATGGTGATTCCAGACAAACTGATAGTTAAGAAATACTACAGTTGCATACTTTTAGCATATATATTTGTAACACAAACCTTGATGAACAAGGCCGCTCCACTGAGAAACAAATAGAGCACAGTACTACCCAGAACACAGTGGGTATTGAACTTGAAACTTTTTTTTTATAAAGCAAGTGTTCCAATAAGATACCACTACAACATTTGATCAGCATTCCATTATATATATTAAGTTTTATTGCCAGGTCATTTAGATAGTCTTGTAAAGATTGTTTAGAATTAAATTTAATACAAGGTATTCATTAAAACCTGCAGAACAAAGTTTTTGTCCACTTAAATTGCTTAAACTAATTGGCGTTAGACTGGATTTAAAAATGATCAGTTCAGTTTTCCAAGATTTCCAAGTACATGATTAATAAATTTGTTGTTTTTTTAAAATGATTTGTTGTCAAGTAGCATGTTAGCATCATCAACAAAATGGTAAGCAGATGCAAATTTAAAATATATATTTAAATTATTAATAAAAAGAAGAAATAGGAGTGGTCCTAAAACTGAACTTTTTGGAACACAATAGTTTAATCAATGTTGGTACAGCCATTTTGAATTTTTCTAAAGGCTTAAATAGCTTGTTATGTGAAGCTTTTTAAAAAAGTTTCCTTAAGTCGGAACAAAGTGAAATGGATTGATAGATAGAGAAATAACTGCTACCCTTTATACTCTTAGTACGCAAAAATCTTAACTCTTGAATTGAGAATTTCTCTTTATTATTTAAGATTTAAGAATATTTAACTCTTGATTGAGCACCTCAAATTTGATTTATTGCTAAAAATGACCTATGACCAATTTTCTGCTGACCAGCGAAAACTTTCCTTACACCACTTTTATCTTCTTTATTTTTTTTAAATACAGATTTACAGAACTAAAGCATGAAATCAGAAGTTAGACAGTTAGGAGGATAATAAGATGAGTGATTTAGCTTATCAGGTTGGGCAGGTCCCAAAAATTAAATATCTGAGTAAAAAATCAAGAAAGGAAAAGGTTTATATATATAAATAAGAATATGCATACTTTGATGTGTAGCCAGGCATCATACTAAAATATATGGCCATTAGAGGCTTTAGTATACACATTGACTAACTAAATAGGGAGACAGCAACCCAAACCCTAAGCCTATACTGGATAAGGTTTTAGGTTAGGGTAGGAATCTTTTTTTTCCTTTTCAGAAATAACCATGAGTAAAAAAGTAAGCAAAAATAGCCAGCAAATGTGTACATACAATATATAGTATCTACTATAGTAGATACATTTATACTTAAACAACTTTTAATTTGACCAAGTATATATGCATAAAAAATTAATTCAGAATAAAAAAACTAAAAATGTAAATACTTTTGAAAAATCTACCTACCTCTCTTTTTGGGAACAGAGGTCTTTTAGTATGTGAAGAATGTGAAGATAGCTTTGTTCTTGCATCAAAGTGCTTAGTAAATAGAAGTAGACTACCATGAAGCTTTTTCTTCACTATATTTTTTTCTGTTTGCCTCTTAAAATCTTTTTTCTTTTCAATTCTACCCCTTTGATTCTTTTGAACATCAACTTTTTTAGCATAATTCTTTAAAAATGGCGTTTTCATTTCAATGCAAATTGTTCTTTTATTATGTTTTATTATTTACTTCATGTAAAAAGATCTTATTTTACTAAAACAAAATTTTTATGTTGCTATAAGACTTGATAACATTAAGATCTATTTATAAGATATATTTGCATCAAGAATTCATTAATATCAAATGAAAATCTTTACAACCATAAACTTAGCTTTTTTAGTTTAAAGTTAAACTATTATATAAAATAAAAATAAATAAAAAAGAAAAAAACATGAACTTTAATAAAACTAAATAAATCACAACAATATATCACTAGTATTATGTTTCTAATAACTGGTTAAAAAAATATCAGATTTTTTTTGTCTATTTTCATGGCTTTTCTTTATTATGCTTTTTCGAAAGACATCTTAAATAGTTAATGTTTTAAATATTCTTAATATTTTGAGAAAAAAATTAATTAAATTTTTTTTTATGATAAATATATATTTTTTTACTTATAAATAATTGATATTGTTCAGTTTTGAACACACTCGCATAACTAAAGCTATTTGTAATATTGTAATAATAATTAATACTAATATTAATAATAATAATAAAATGTAAAAACAACTGTAAATTACTTATTTAAAATGAAAAGTTAATTAATTTAAAAAAATTTAAAATAGAAAACACTTAAAATGAAAAAAATTTAAAATGAAAGTAAATTAATTTTAAATAATATCAATATAAACTAATTAGGGATGATTGAAACAAAATGTCAACTATATACAATATTTTTAAAAAATTTATTAGAATTCTAACTATTTATGGATCTAATTTTATTTAGGCTTCACCTTTAAATAATATTTTTCTCATTTGTAGAACTGTTTTACTTATTGCTAGAGTTTTTGTTTTTTTTAAATTTTTTTTTAAAACTAATTACAATAAAGAAGTGTAACTAAATTTAAATTACTTATTTAAATTAATCTAATATTAATTTATCTTATATTAATTATTCATTTAAATTGATACATTATTAATATTATATAATATATATATACTACACCGAGAATGAAATAAAAAAATTGTTTTTCAAAATAAATTCTTTTTTTAAATAAATAAATCCAAAAAACATGTTCTCTATATATAAAACATATATTCTATAAATATAATAAATAATTAATGCAAATTTTTAAAATATAAATAAAATATTATTATAAGATATCAATAAATATAAAATCTATTTTGTCACTTTGTTAACATCTAATTCTGCTTGTAAAATATCGATACGAGCTTGCATTATTTGAAGTTGCTCGCGGAGAGCTGAAATGGTATCTTCTAAATCCTAAAGTTAAAAAAACTTTAAATAGAATATAGTTATTAAATTTAAAAATTGAATGTAATGTATCAATATCAATAGAATAACTAAATAATATAAAAATAGAGTAACTAAATAATATTAAATTTTTTTTTTTTTTACTTGCTGGACAGATGAAGCTAACATTCCCTTTAACTTATTTTCATACTCTTGGCGACAACAAAATAACTAGAAAATAAAGTTAATAAATGGCTTTAAATTAAAAAAAGTAAATGCCAGTTTCAAAAATCTTAAATGTCTTAACCATATATGAACAGCACAGTAAATTACTTTAGAACTTTAGAAGATTAAAATTCTTTTGTTCAAATAGATTTCTTTTTAAAAAAAATTCCTAAAAAACAACTTTTGTATTAATGGAAAATGTTTAAACTTGATATCGCTTTGAATAAAATGAAAATATTAAAATAATGGAACTTTTTTGTTAAAATGTTATTTTAACAAAAAATCTTATGTGTTAACAACATATAAGATAAAAAAAGAAATATTTGTAAGGCTATCTTTAGAGAGTCTTTGAGTATATTAAGTAAATTTAATTGAGTAACACAACTGCAGTAACTTGTTGTTTTAATTGAGTTATAGGTAAATTTGTCATAATGTTCTTAATCCATTAAATTAATCAAACTAAAGCCCTAGTCAAATATCAGCCCTGGTTGCTTACTAGCGACACTCCTATGTGCGCACTCAATATATTGTCAGTTTATCACAGCTGTTTCAAAATGAGCTTTATGGCTTCTTGTTTTTTCTTTAAATAAACACTTAAGTGGTGTTACTAAAACTTTTTTAACTTTTGAAATATTAAAGATTATTTTGTTCTGTAAAAACAAAAATAAACACCAATACAATGTTTAACCTTATAACATTAAATAAATTAACAAAAACTTTATTTGATTTTAGATTAAACGCAGCAAATGAAGAACTTGGCTAAATTTTTAGGACTATTTGTCACTTTTTATTAAAAAAAAATTGAAAAAATATATTTTAAATATAAATTATTAAATAATACACATTTCACAACTACCATTAATGAAAAGAATTTTACTTAAACCTAATTGTTAACTGAAACAGGTATTATTAAAGTCAGTAAAGCAAATAGCATAATTTTACTAGTAAAGTAATTGAGGTCACATGATTGTTTTAAAATGAAAACAAAAATTTACGCAAAAAATAGATAATTTTTTTCTAAATCAGCCAAGTTTGAAAACATATTTGCTAACACAGCTGAAGGTACATGAAACAATTTTATTTTCATTTGCATAAAAGGTTGAAATTTCAATAACTTACGTCATCCATCAAAAAGGTAATGTTTTGGATTTAAAAACGATAAATTAAAAAATATAAATGCTTTAAAAACTTTTTTTTATAAAAATTTGGTCTTTTTTAAATAAAAATCACCATGATGACGTAGGAACCTGATATAATGGATATTCATGACTAAGTGTTCCAAATTTCAACTATCAAGCACAGAGCTATGTTATCAAAACTTAGTTGGCCCAAGTCAGGTTTTCTGCAAAATATGCAAAAACCAAAAAGTGATTCTTAATCATTAAAAATATTTTAGCAATATTTATTTGTATTCTACCTAATGTAAATACTTACTTAATAAGGAAAGATGGATCTTTTATATTTTTTTAAATCGAAGATCAAAGTATTCATAGAAAAAAGTTACTAATATTTTAAAGTTTGTGAATTTTTATACTTTTTATGCGGAAATACTTTTATTTTTTATAAACTCTGCAGCTCACGCTTGTTTTTATATTAAGTGAAACAGCCGTGTTACATTTTAGAAACGTGCTAAAAAATATTCTAAAAAAGTAGAATTATTTACATCAAAACTTCTTAAAGAATGTTTTTATATTAGCGAAATGATTTTAAATAAGGTAACAATTTACTGAAAAAAAGTTTTGCTTTTTAAATATAATTGACAGTTGTATATATTTTTTTAATTTAAAACATATAAATTGTTTAAGTGTTTATTTCTAAAATAAATCTTATTAAAAAATAAAAAATTGTTTTGTTTTTATAAACGATGACATTCTACGACTATGAAAGTCTCTTTAATGAATTTAAATATAAGAATGATTAAAGTTAATGCATTTAAAAAGATAAACAAAATTTCGTTTAAAAAAAAGTTTCAGAAAACCGTTACAATTTAATGAGTTTGATCTTAAATGCTTTTATATTATCGAAACGCTTTTAATGAAGTAAAAAAAAAACACTTCTAATTAATTTAAAAAAAAGTATTTATAAAATGTTTTTTTATTTTATTTATATAACTATGTATTTTTTTAACTTTTGAACATATTAAACAAATAAAAAATATATAAAAATGTTGAAACGAGGATTGAAAAGGTTTTTTAATGCGTAAATAAAATAGACTAAGCATTTTAGTTTGATGAGTTTTGTTTTAGTTGCGTTATATAAATATATTTATTTTTTTGTGTTTTTGCTTTAACTAAGTATTTTTTTTTTTATTTTCTCTTTGTTAATATTTATTATTTTTTAAAATTTTTTTTTCAGATAGATTTAGGTAAGTTATTGTAGCGCGTTTTTAAATTTTAAAAATACGCCGTGGTCAAATCGTTAAAACATTTTTTTTTTTGCTTGGTCATATAAAGACATGAAATCACACGTCTTCCTGTGAAAGCCTGTATATATATATATATATATATATATATATATATATATATATATATATATATATTATATATATATATATATATAAAACATTTAACACCCATAGTTGTGCACTTGTATTATTTGAACAGATATCCTTAATCCCAACTTTTTATTATAGAAACCATTGAAAAATATGATAAAAAATTTTATCATATTTTTCAATGGTTTTTATACTTTTTTTGCGGAAATACTTTTATTTTTTATAAACTCTGAAGGTCACGCTCGATTTTATATTGAGTGAAACAGCCGTGTTATGTATGTACTGAAATCCTTGCAGCTCCCTATTTAGTATGAAATCATCAGTGTGCATTTCATGCTGCATTTATATATGATTATATATATATATATATATATATATATATATATATATATATATATATATATATATATATATATATATATATATATATATATATATATATATATATATATATATATATACATAAAACATTTAACACCCATAGTTGTGCACTTGTATTATTTGAACAGATATCCTTAATCCCAACTTTTTATTATAGAAACCATTGAAAAATATGATAAAAAAAAGGAACGATGGATAGAGATCAAATAATTGACGGGAAGGTCATATAGTTATAAAGTTACACTTACATTTTCATCAGATTTCATTAACATATTTTGATAATGTTCTTCCATCTCCTCTCTCTTTAATAAATTTTGATTTTGATATTCTGAAAACTTCTAGATAAAAGAAATAGTCATTTCTAAAAAATAAAATATTGAACTTAGTCTTATTTAGTCATGTATAATCCTAAATAAAACAATGTTTTACCTAATGTTATACAAATAATCCTTTCTAATAACTAGAACTTTTAATATTATTTATCAAAGAAAAATTTAATTTGTTAATAAAATTGTATATAAAATCATACTTTTCTTTCATCTGAAACCATTTCCATACATTCTTGCAGCTGTTTTTCATACTCACCGACTTTTCTAAAAATCACAATTTTTTTTATTAAACTAAATATAATAAGTAATTAGTTACATTATAAAGCATTGAGTGCCTCGCTTTAATTCTAAGAACTATTTTATGTAAAACAAGGGATTTACAATTTATTAACATGGAAATGTTAAAAAAAAAATAACATGAAATAAAAGTGATGGCAAATAAAAACTTAAAATTATCAAACATGGGTTTATATCTCCTGAAGATAGTGTTTTGACAATTTTTTTAAAGATATAAACAAGATACATATATGTTGTTTACACTAAGGTAATAATGTTTAAGGAATTAAAACACATCCCAATTCATTATAAGCTATATTTATTTTTGAGAAATTTCGAAAAAAATTTCCAAAAAAGAAAACCCATAAAAATATAAAATGTGAATACTTTAACATCCTTTAATACATTTTTAAAATGATCTATCTTTTTAATCTCTTCAGATATCAAATAAAGAACCTTCTGATACATGAATTTTTTAAAACATGATTTAAAAAATTCCATAAAACACCTAATAAAAACTCAAAAAATGAATCAATGAAAGAATCTGCTACAAATGATTAAAATCTTCATTCAGAAATTTAAACAACTATTTAAATTGTTCCAATGACAAGTTAAACAGATAAAAATAAAACAACTCAAACCATTTACAATAAATAAAACTCTTAATTATGATGGCCCATACAACAACATTAAAAAAAATTGATTATTCTGATCTTAGAGGTGTTTTAAAATCAGAAAAACTAGAAGACTGCAACAGCCTTTATAAAACACTAATCAGAAAAGACTGCAACAGTCTTCATAAAACACTAATCAGAAAAGACTGCAACAGCTTTCATAAAACACTAATCAGAAAAGACTGCAACAGTCTTCATAAAACACTAATCCGAAAAGACTGCAACAGTCTTCATAAAAATCCATGTCCATTGTTTAACAAGATTTTGAAGCAGGTATAGAGGTTAGAAGAAACTAATTTAAATCTCATAGAAAGTTGTAGTTCAAACATATTTTGAATTGTAGTAAAAATATATTTTGAAACCACATAAGAATTTGTATTACATGAGTTCAAAATACTACATAAAATATACTATATACATTATATGCTATATATAAAGCATATAATATATATAAAACATATAATATATATATATATATATATATATATATATATATATATATATATATATATATATATATATATATATATATATATGTATATATATATATATATATATATATATATATATATATATATATCGCCTATAATGAATAGCCTATGAATATTATTAATAGTGCGCATAGTTACGCGTATTGTTTTATAGTTACGGTACGGTTCTGTATCTGTAAAATACACTTTTTAAGTAGTTTCTAGACTTTTCTTTACCGCGTGCTTACTTACAGATTTCCCTTTAACCTTTCATGGTACGAGTTCAAAATATCTAAGTTGACATTAAGTAGATAATGTTTAGTAGCTTAAAATATACTATATACATTATATGCTATATATAAAGCATATAATATATATAAAACATATAATATATATATATATATATATATATATATATATATATATATATATATATATATATATATATATATATACTGACATTAAGTAGATAATGTTTAGTAGCTTAAAATTATAGGTAATCTAAATTTTTTTTTAAATTTAAAAGTAATTAATTTATTGTAATCTTTTTTAAATTGTAATTTTAAATTTAAAGCTTCGTGTTATAGATTACTTTAATTCTTAATTTGTGTCTAGCGTTAAAATATATTTATGGGTAGTTTCATGCTTTCACTTAGTTTTGGTTATTGGGATAAAAGCCATGACAACATTTTGTTATAAATTTATCTTAATTTAATTTTTATTGAAAATTTTGTTATAAATAAAATTTGTCTTAAATATTGTTAATACTTTAGCTCTTTGAAAAAAAATATGTTTCTGGCTCTTCAATAAATATAAAATTATTTGTCTTGCATGAATGAATTTTGGTTTAAGATTTAATTGTGTTAGTTTATGTTTGTCTATCTGTAATTTATTTAGGTTATTAGAAAATTCATGTTTACAGAGTTGTTATAAATCATAATCGAGTTGTTAAACCAAGGAAATTGTGGAGGTTTATTTATCGTATATACTATATATATATTATATAATTATATTGGAGGGAGTAAGTTTAGAAGCCTTTTTAAATTTAAAAAAAAAAATAAAAATACTTTTCAATATATATCTGTTTTCTTTGAGGTAGATTTAAAGTTTCAGTTTTTTAAAATCATATATATTTTAAAATCCTATATATAACTCATATATCTTTGTTTTTCTATTTAGACGTTGGTAATAATATGAAACAAGTAAGTTATAAAGCATTTTTAAATTTTTAAAAAAAAATAAAAATACTTTTTATTATATATCTGTTTTCTTCGAGGTAGATTTAAAATTTCAGGTTTTTTAAATCATATATATTATAAGGTTTAAGAATGAGTCGACTTGAATGTTTGTTTGTTTTTCTATTTAGACGTTGGTGATAATATCGAAACAAGTAAGTTATAAAGCATTTTTAAATTTTTAAAAAGAAATAAAAATACTTTTCAATATATATCTGTTTTCTTCGAGGTAGATTTAAAATTTCAGGTTTTTAAAATCATATATATTATAATATTAAATTCTTTTTTACTTTAAAAATATCTATATTATAGTTACACTGAGTCGTAGAAAAAAAATTAAAGTTTATTAATAAGGTAGTAGATTATTAGAGTAGATTAAATTGTTTGATCTATTAATCAACTTAATAACGTACTATTAATATGAAGATTTATTTTGGTTGTTTGTTTGTTAAAATTTAGTTAGAGTTTATTTAAAATTTAAATTCTTTAGTTAATCAAGAGAGATCTAATAAAGGTATTAATTACATTAGTTGAATGTGGCATTTAATATGTATTTTATCGATATAAGGAATAAAATAATAAGGAATAGAAAAATTTTAAAAATTTGCTCTGGAATTTGTCAAAAGAGTGTTGTGTTATGCTTCATTTTAAGGTATCTAAATATATATTCATTAGAAATTTTTAATTTTGTTTTTAAATGGTTTATTCTTTTTCACTACTTTAGATAAATATATACTGACTGACATAACTTCATTTTTATTAACAATGTCGTGCATTGTAGTCTGCATTCTTTGTTACATTAAAAATAATTGATGCTAATAAATGTTCTTTTATAGTTGTTAAAAGTTTGCATATATGTTTTCATTTATATTATGATCAAAGTTAAAATTTTTTTGATAAATACGTGTATGTGGTGATACTACTCAGGTATCACCGCAGCTTATCTCTATCAGGTACATTGATTTTTAATTCACATATGATGTTTTTCTTTGTATTTACTTATTCATTACATTTTTAACTTCAGATTTATGGTGTATTTAATTGCTATAGAAGAACAAATCATTTTGAATTTTTTAAAAATATCTACACCAATCAACATTTAAAATTTAATGTAGCATATACCAGCTTCTAGGCTTTTTTGATGCTTTTCTTATTCAAGTGGTTTCATAAGCAAGGTCTACAAGCAAATTTGAGATAAAAAGTTTTTCAGCTTTCAAGGAGTATCAATGTTGTTCTCTGTATACTTTAATTTGTTTAAATAGAGTAGTTTTAGTAAATAAATGTTTGTTTGTTCTTGGTTTTTTACTTATTTGTTATCAGATTCTTAAAACTAATCAACTTAGCAAGCAAGATTTATTTTATTTTTTAGTGCAATTGGAAAGAGCTAAAGTGCTTTTTAGTTACTTCAAATCATTTGTTTTTATTTTTTAAATAGAAGGATTAATAATAAAAATGTTTAGACAGTCGAACTGTTACTGATTTGAGTAAGTTTAATTTTTTGTTTAATTTTATATTAGATATATATTTTATGTATTTAACATGAAAAACTGACTGTAATTTTTGACAGGTAAGTTTATATACTTAAATGTGCCTATATATCGGAATATTTTATATTTCTCTGAATCTATATGAATATTATCTCAAAGAAAAAATTTGAATATATATACATACATATATATTACTTTAGACTGACATTGCTTCATTTTTTATACAAGATTCTGCATTTATTATTTTTGTGCATTAAGATTGTGCCTGAAGGCTTTCTTAATTTAGCAAAGAATTTCGAACACAATGCAAATAACTTTGCACTGTGTTCTGAATTCTTTGCTAAATTAAAATAATGTAAATAAATTTTGTTTTATATTTTTCAGTTGTAAAAATATAAAACGTTCATTTATTCAGTTGTAACAGTAGCATAACCACTGGTAATATATATTTAATGATAACAGATTTATAATATTAGGCTCGAAGAAGTTATTAGTGTAAATGGTTATAGGTGACTTGAAATTGTTGTCATATGAAAGAAATAGATCTAGGCATGATAAAATTAATTGTCGTTGAAATATAAGAAATTTTGCTTGATGAACCAAAAACTTACTTGGCAGAATTCAGTGTCAAGCGCTGTTGATGTCTATTATTTGACTTTACATTAGACACTTTAAAATAAAGCAAAGTATGAATTTTACTATTTATAGTAACAAATAATAAAAATTTCAGTTTTAAATGATTTTTTTTTTTTTTTTTTTTTTTTTAGTTTTACTTTTGTAATCTTAATATAATTGTTCATTTTTTTTTTAGTTGTCTTTGTCATCACTTGATTATTTTGCTTACTGTTGAAACATGGTTTTAATTTTGTAAATTTAATATGATGTGAAATTTACAATATTAATCATTTGTCAACAGTTAGAGAGAAGCTGGAAATTAATTAAGAAATGCTGGAAATTAACTTATAGTTAAGGTAAAAATAATTTTGTTTATTGGTAGCATAATAAAACCAGTTACTGTTATTTATTGCATGACTTTTTTACTTTTTCTAACATGGTGTTTTTAAAACACTTCCTCTCTCTCTTAGATGAGACTTAAATAAGAATTAGTATTGAGAATTGTAGAGAGAGAATTGATTGGGGGGTCGTATGGGTTGAATGGGCGGTCGTAACTAAAAACCTTTAAAAATATGGAGAATATTGTAGTTTTGCGCATTAATATCGAGTTACTTAAGTTTTATTTATGTGTTTAACTAATTAGTTAGCTTAGTCTGTATTTGCAACACTTTTGAGGAAAGAAAGAAAACATTTTTATATAAGTAGATCATTGTTTTACATTTTAATATTTTATTTAATTCACCAGGCCACCATTAAAGCAAAAAGAGGGAAGGAACCTCTTTATTAGAGCCAAAATATTTAGAAAAATTAAATTTCGAGTTACAAAAGGAATTTTTAGTAAATGGTGGCAAATTACCGTTTACTAAAAATTTAATGAAATAAAGAGGCCAAATAAATAATATACAAATGGTCTGTGTTGAACAGACTTAACAAGACCCGGGTCGGGTCAGTTTGGTTTACAAATTTTTAAGTCTACTTATCTCTTATAATTTTTATTTTAGTTTGTTCTATGATGCATTAATGTATTAAAAAATTTGTTATACCTATGTTTGATCGTAAATTAAATTTTTTTTTGTTTGAAAGGTATTTGTACTCAGTTACGTAGTTATAATAAACTTTGTCATTTTTTATAAATTTATTTAAACGTGTGCATTTAACATTTTTGAGTTAACAATTTTCTTTTCTAAAGAACAATTAATCAAGGGGATAACAAAAAATTGATAACTCCTGTATAATATAAGTTAACTTCATTTTAATCTTAATGGTTCGTGTTATAAAAATTATTACAAGGATTTAGTTGACACTTTCGTCAATTTAAAGTATAACCAAGTGTTATTATTTTGCGTCAGTAACTAAAAACGTATTGTGTTAAACTTAGGAAGGTCGATGAAAATGGTTCTGCCTTACACTGTTATGACCTGTGCCATTTGTAAATTACTTAATAATGTTAAGTAGTAGTTGGTAAATTATTTTACCTCCTCATAATTTTTATGTTAATTTTACAGATGGATTAATTTTTTCAAGCTGAAGGCAATTTTCTAAAAGGGTATTAGTTAAGGTTTTGCAAGATTAAATTGTGGAAAACAGCTACTATAAATTAATTATGTAACAGACCGACCGAAACCCGTATTACGGGTTGCCTTTTGCTAGTATATATAAATATAAAACATACTATATATTATATATAAAACATACTATATATTATATATATAAAACATACTATATTTTACATATACATATATTATATGCCATATATGAAACATGAAATATAATATATCTCATGTTAAAAAAAAAGATATACTTATATACTTGTTAGCAGCAGAAAGTTCCTCTCTTAAAGATGCAATTTTCTAAACAAAAAAGATAATATTTTTATAGTCTGCTATAACAAATTACTATTTATACTTTACTAAATTAAACCAACTAATCAAAAAAATTTTTGGCTTAATTTTGTATTTAGTTTCAGGCATACATTTATTTTGAGAATATATACAAACGATGCATCAATTTACAATAAATGTGATACATTGAATGTGAATGCAGTTAGAAACAAATATATTAAAGAATTTAATTGAGTACAAAGAAAAAAGTTTTGTTTTACTTCCAAAAATACTATGAAAAATTTAATTAAATTAAAAATAAATTTGCTTTTCAGACATCAAAAATGACATCACATGACCATATTAAAAAAATAAAACTATAAATAAACAGTATTCATATAAAATTATCTTAAAAATTTATAAAATATAATTTTTTTAGTGTATATATGAATATGTATATTTATATAGTTTAATTAAATTACATTAATTTTATAGAATTATTTAAATAATACTATTTTTAAATAAAACTATATTTAAATAATTGTATATAATTAATGTAATTTTATTAAATTAAAAAAAATTTATTTCATATTTGACTGTTACTTTATGGATAGTTTCAAATACTGTTAGACATTTATATTACCGCAGCAAAATAAAAAATGTTGACAATCATCATTGATTGACTAAAATAAATAGTAGATGCATAAGTTATCATAGATGATGCATAAGTTATCATAGATAATGCATAATTTATTAGAAATATTTTAATTTTATATTTTATTCAAATTTAATTAATATGCATAAAAACCTATGAAATGTTTATTTAATTATTTAAAACAAATTCATTAAGAATAAGGATAAATAAAGCAGAACAAAAAATATTTGAAAAATGTTTTAATTTTTTTTGTGTGTAAAAAACCATAATATATATTAAAAAAAAGGGACACCATTAATCATTATAAAAAGAAGGAATAACAAAAAAAAGGTCAACTCAGAGAAAAATGGATCTTAAATTGTGTGAATCAATTGATAATTGGTGATCAGTTCAAAAAAAAAAAGAAGAAAGAATATTCAATAGATAAAACATGACTACCAAATCACCATTAAACAAAAAATAAAAGCAACAAAAAGAATCAGAAACTTGTTGATTAGCTCTATAACACAAAACCACATGACTGTAAATTTTGGTTTCTACACATATGTCAAAGCAACATGCCAGAAAGTTTACAAGGGAGGTTGACAAGCTTGCAAATTCAACAACATTTTTATCTTTTAAAATCATAATGTTAAAGACCAAATCAATTTGAGAAAATTAAATAGAAGAAAAACTTTTTTTTTTAACAACATTTTTAATAACAATTATTCATTGTTGTTATTACGGTTTGATTGTTATTTTGAGAGCTGTTATTGTTACTGCTATACTCCTAGATCATGCTGACTCTGAACTCTATAATTATAACAATATTCAACATGCAAACCCACAGTTAAAGATTGAAAAGTTTCAAAACCCTATTAAAGTCAGAAGTTGATAAACATTTTGGGGCTTTAAGTTAAGGTTACTGTAAAACTAAGGTAAAAATAATGAAAATTTTCTTCCAGAGTTCTTTAAGAGACTTTTATTCTCCACCTTCGATACTGAAAATTTTCAAACTTTATTTGTAAAAAGATCAATTTTCTCTTTCTGGATATACTTTATTCTCTATTTTTACATTCTTTTTTACCAGCAAGAACTGGTAAAACCTAAAAACCATGATACAACTCAAAAGCATATATGTTGCTTGATCAAGAAAAACTAAACTTTATACAAATTATATTAAGAAGTTTATAACAATGAAAATGTAAATTTAGTTTGAAAAAAACACAAAATAATCAACTAATAATAAAATCTTACATTATGATCCTCTGCAGTTTTTTTTGAATATTCATTCTCTATGTTTTTGAGTTGCTCATTCATCTACAAAAAGTCATCATTAATTATAAAACTATCAAAAAAATTGGTAAATTATTATTTATTACTAAAAAAAAGTTATTATTTTAAATAGTATAAATATTTTCAAATGGTCTGCACATTTAGTAAAATAATTTTTAGTAATTATCTTGAAAGATTTTGTGTAAACATTTTGTATCAATACCAAGTGGCAACATGAGATTGCAGATTTACAAATTCTGCATATGTAAATTTTTGTTGATCATATCAATACTACTCAAAAATAATATATTTACAACAGTTACTATAGTTACAACAGTTACTATAGTTATGTCAAATTAAAAATAAATACTCAGATTAAAAACTGCTTTAAGTGTAAATTCACTTGAAATAAAAAAATAAACATGTGTATGTTCTAGTAATACTCTATCTTGTTTAATTATGTGTGCCTTGAAATAAAAAGTAGTATTACTCAAAATAAATAATTATTCAAATTACATAGTACAGCATTCAAAACACTATATAATTAATTATATTTTACTAAACAATAATTAAAAAAAAAAATAAAACAAACAAACCTTTTTTGTGAACAAATTTAATTGTATACTGTGTTCTTTTTGTAATCGTAGATTTATTTCATCTATTTCATTTTTGTACTTGGAATGCTAAAAATTGATAAAAAAAAAAAAAATATATAAAAAATGCTAAAACAAAATTATTTGAGCTAATATCAATAATTTGCTTATATTATTACCATATATAGTAGTGGTGTAGTAATTTAATGTGGTAGTGGTTTAGGGGTAGAGAGCTTGCTTTATAAACAAGAACTTCAGAATTTGATGCGCACCACACCCCTGGCAGTACAGCGATAAACTTGTTTTCTCTGCAAAAATGCCTTGTTTGTCAACATTCATATTTCAGAGTTAAAGAGTTAAGAGAGGGTTGTAACTACAATAAAGTATCCTTCAAGATTGAAGTAGCCCTCTTAGCCTTAGGGAGGTGAATAACATTAAAAAAAGACCTATATTTACATGTTTTCAAACTTGTATTTTTACCATGACATCTCACCCGCAATTTTAAACTTGGATTAAAATCAGTGAGACATAAGAAACACATTAAAAAATAATAAATAGATTATTCTTTAATCAAATTTAAATTTAGATAATTAAAAAAAAACTTAGCATTCTTAATATATATAAAAAAAATAATTAACTAAAAGAAATTGCAATAAAGAATAAATAAAAGTTAACTTTTAATGACTCCTCATCAAAACAAAACATTTTAAAGCATTTTTAGAAATATTTTTAAATATTTTTATTAAAAAATATTTAAAAACAGTAAAAAATGCTTTTAAATGTCTTAATTTTAAAATATTTGATAATAAAAGTATTGAAGGATGCTTTCAATTTTTTTATCATCTTCACTTCCAACAAGGCTGCAAGCAACCACTATTAGAATTGGAAGTTACTGAAAGAGAAAAGATAAAGTTTCTAGAGCAACATAACGATGAACAGATGACTTAAAAGATTGCAAAATATATGAATCAGGAAAAACAAGATGAAAAGGAATGAATTTCAAAAAACGGATGTTCGAGGAAAAAAACTAGATAATTAGGAATAGTCACAGTAAAAGGATGAGACTTAACTAAATGGCAAGTAAAATGAGAATGAGTTTTAGTAGGTGACACTTTAGAGCTTTTTAGAGCAGTGCCCATTATAGTATTTGTAGAAAGGAGAAAGAGAAGCAACATTACGACGATGTGACAGAGGTTGAAGGTTGGCTGCAAGAGCAGGTCCAACTATGTTTACAACGCGTTTTTGCACCTTGTCTAAAAGAGAAAGGACAACATTTGATACCTTTAATACCTTTACCATATATATTTAAAATTCTTTTTGGTTTTCTGTTTGATTTTCTTGATTTTGAAATTTAATATTTGTAAATTGATTTTTTAATATAATCTAATAATTTGTTGATCAATAAAATTTGAATAATCTCATTACTAAAATGGTGGCACAAATTAAAAATTTTTTTAAACAAATAACTAACTAAGGCCTCCTCATTTCGCCGAGCAGCTTCTTGCTCTTCTTTTCTTAGCAATCCTATTTCAACAATCTGCTCTTTCCTTAAAGTATTTGCTTGTATTACCTATAGAAGAAAAAGATGCTTTACAATCAATTCAAACAATTATAAGTTATTAAAATGTCTGTAAAAATATAAAGTAAAGGTGTCACCTCCACACGCAAACTTCTAACTTGAGATTCCATTTCTTCAATAGTCTATTACAAATTAAATAAAATTAAAAAAATACAACACAAAATGCTATACAAATCCACAATAAAACATGACAAAACACCACAATAGTATATCATAAAAACACAATAAAAAAAGTAAAACCATAAGCAACATTACAAAACGACATAATAATACACGGCAGGTCATATAACTTATAGCTTTAAAAGTCTTTGTTGTTCATGACATTTATGTTTGTAATCTTGGCCTAATGATACGTTGACTCCTTTAAGCTTGTTTTTATGACTACACATTATACACAAATATTATTATGCAAAAGTATACATAAAATAAAATCCAACCTTTTGGTGTTTATCATTTTGATCTTTGTACTTGCTTTCTTCTTCTTTCCATGATTTCAAAAATTGTTCTTGATGATTTGACTGCAAAAAAAAAAAAAAATTTTGAAAAAAAATTTAATTTGACTTTTACCAATTATATTTAAAAATGGTGTAATATAACTTTAGGTTTCACATGTCTATGCACATTAGCCTAAAGATATTTAAAACAGACCTTATTACTTTAACTGATATACTTAGTTGAATTTATATTTTATATGACATCTTTAAAAGTATGTGTGAAATATTATTTATTTTTTTGTGTTTTGCTTTAACTAAGTATTTTTTTTAATTTCTCTTTCGTTAAGATTTTATTTTTTTACAATTTTTTTCAGTTAAGTTTAGGTAAGTTTTTGCAGCGCGTTTTTAAATATTGAAAATATGCTGCGGTCAAATCGTTAAAACATTTTTTTTTTGCGTGGTCATATAAAGACGTGAAATTGCACACTTTCCTGTGAAAGCCTGAAACATGTCCCTGTTAATACTGGGATCAACTTGTTTCTCCATGCAGCAACTCATCAAAGTTTATCTTTCAGAGTTAAAGAGTTGAGAGAGGGTTGTAACCACAAAAAGTAGCCTCCTCGTACTGTAGGGGCCTTCTCAGCCATATGGAGGTGCATAGCATTAAAAAAAAATTTACTGTTAGTAAACTTTTATAAATAAATCATTGTAAAAATAACAAAAAAGATGTCATTCCGACATAATATTTTCAAAATTTTTTAATTTTATGAAAAATGGTTTTCAATGGTGAATCATCACTAAATTACAATTGTCACAATATAAAATATTTTGAGTAGATTTTGAGTCATGAATTTTCCTAATGTAGTTGTTTGAAACAACTGAAAGCGTTTTAGGACCTTTCCAGTTTATAATTCCATCAAAATGTCGTTTATGCTCCACAGATGCATCCAAGATGGTATTAGTAATATTTTTTTTATGTTCTTAGATTCATGCGGAAATCATTTTTCTTGTTTCATTAATGTAACCATGTATCACATACAGGCTTTCATAGGAAAGGCGTGCGACCGCACGCCTTTCCTATGAAAGCCTGTATGTGATTGTCCATGCATAAAATAAATTTTTCACGCATAAAATAAACTTTTCTACAAAGCTAAACGAAAATACCGCAAAAAATGCAAGCAATCTTAAAGTAAATAACAGAAATCTGTTTTTGCTTTAAAATTAAAAAATTAATGTATATTATTAAAAAAAAAATTTACCTATATTTTATTTATTTTTTTAGGGTGGTAGTTATTTCAGCTATGAAAAATCAAATCAATAATAAAAATCAAATCAAAAAGAAAAAGATTAATGTTCAAAGAAAATAAAAGGACCTTTTAATGTAAAATTTGTTTATGACTTTTATCAGTCAGTAATACTTTGAAATTCACAATAGAGCTATTAACAATTTTTAAATGTTTCGTAAATACATTTAAATGTTTAAATGTATTGATACGCAAGAAAGAGCGAAAACAATTGCTATTTATTTGTAAAATATGTTTTTTTTTATTTTCAAATGAAAGAAAATTTTATTGTCAAACGATTGAGTTTATTTTATTTTGCAATCATTAATTGACATTGTTAACAAGTGTTAATATATAACAATGTCCCGAAGGAACTGTTTTCGTAACACTGACAACAGAAGCAATGCAGTTATTTTTTTAACTTCTTTCGTAATTACAAAAGTTGAGAGAACATTTTTCACATTAAAATTTTGTTATGTTTAAAACCTCAAATAATATATTTAATGATTAAAACAGCAATTTATTTTTTTGTCTAAGTATTGGGGAATAACATCATCGCCTTTGCATAAAGCTTCGTAAAAACTAAATTAAATGAAAAAATTTAACTTAATTTGTCAAGCGTAAATAATGAATCAGTTTTTTAATACGTTGTCTGATAAATGTCGTGAATAAATTACGTATCAAGTCTTTTTATTTTCATGAAAACTTAATGACTTATAGTCGTCTTTTCCTTGACTTGTATCAAATTTCGTAGCTGAAAATAGCAACACTAAAAAAAAAACAAAAAACAGTATAAAAATTTTGAAAAAAATGTTCAAGACTTTTTTTTTATTGTTATAAGAATTTTTTTTTTTTTTAATTTTTTTTTTATTATTAAAATATTTTTCTTACATTCAATTTCAATTTTATACTTTGTTTCGGCTTCGTTTCCTTTTTTTAATATTATTTTTTATTCTCTGTGGATAAGTTTCGCTTTCCCACGAAATATTGCCGCGATCACGTTTTCTGAAAAACTTATTCTATGCGTGGCCAAACAAGGTGTGCGACCGCACGCCTTTCCTGGGAAAGCCTGCACATATGCAACCAAGTTGGTTCATCCCCACTATTTGAGGAAGTTTTGATTTAATAAATGATAAATAATTTCCAAGCTGGTCTTCTCTTCATATAGAGTATCTGAAAAAGTTTTTAAGCTTCTTTGATCATTTTAACTTCAGTTAAAATAAAATGATTTTATAAAGTGACTCGATTAGTTGTATTGACTTTTCTGTTCGATTGCTTAGAGCAGACGCCTGATCTTAATCTCTCTTCTGTAACAGCTCGGGTTCGCATGACTTATGAATTTTAATTCCAAAAAAACTGTTAAAACATTTTAAAATTATCTAAATACTCTGACAAAAACTGTTCTAGCATAATGAAAATAGTGCATCTAAACTTCATACTTAAACCTCACACAGGTGGTTTCAAATCAAATCCTGTATATATAAGCAGAGAAATTTTCTTTTAAAAGAAATTAAAATTAAAAACATTACTTGATTTTCTATTTGCTTAAGAAGGTTTGACCTCTGCTCATCATATTGCTGTTTCAATTGACATTTTTCAAATTCAAACGATTCTTTATAACTAAGAATCTAAAATTAAAATTTATAAAGATTCTATTTAATTAAATAAATCTATTTTTTTCCAACAAGACAGAACAATAAAGTTGTATAAATTATGTTTAACAGTAGCAGTTTTGAAATTTTTTTTTTTTCACTTAACTGAATATCACAATAAGTACTTTTATCCATTTGTAGTGGTAATAAGTCAATTTTAAAATAAAAAATACTTGAAATATTTTATATGACCTAAAATTTACCTGCTTTTCATACATTGATCTTTGTTCGTCCAGACGCTTAGTAAATTCAACTTTATTGTCTTCTATTTTTTGCCTTGCTGAACGTAATGAAGTTTGCAAAACCTCTAACTACAAAAAAAAGTAAATAACTAATTACAAAGGATATGGTAATCAATTAAAATAACTAAAGCAAGAAAAGTGTTGTGCATATATATATATATATATATATATATATATATATATATATATATATATATATATATATATATGGACTCATATATATATATATATATATATATATATATATATATATATATATATATATATATATATATATATATATATATATATATATATATATATATATATATATATATATATATATGGACTCAAATTGCTGTTTTAAATTGCTGGGACTCTTTCCGTGATTTTCTTCGTGATGGCCCTTGGGTAGAAATCTTTCGTCTTCCTGCTGACAAATGTGCTTCTTACATAACTTCGTGGATTCAGGCTGGCATGGAATCTTTTATTCCCTCTCGACGATTCCAGGTCAAGCCTCACTCTTCTCCTTGGTTTTCCTCACATTGCGCTGCAGCAATTTCTAATCGAAACCGTTACTTCCATATCTATCAGCAAAACAATTCTCCAGAAAACAGACATCTGTTCACTATCGCCAGAAACCATTGTAAAAACATTTTGTCTGACGCCAAAGCTCGCTATTCTCAGGTCATTAAATCTCGTATCTCATCACAAAAATTAGGCTCTCGAGACTTCTGGAGAATCTTTAACAGTATCAATAATAAGGGCAAATCTGTTATTCCTTCTCTCTTGTATGGTTCAGACTTTGTCACCTCACCTAAAGACAAAGCTGAATTGTTTGCTAAGAACTTTTCATCAATATCATCTCTCGATTCCACTAGTTGCGTTTTACCTGACATAGCTGTCAAACAGGTTGATCCCTTGCTTGACATTCGCATCACTTCAGCTTCTGTATCAAAAGTAATTTCCTGCTTAGACTCTTTAACAGCTTGTGGTCCTGACAACATTCCTGTTGTAGTCTTGCAGAGGTGTTCTCCGGAGCTTTCATCCATACTTTCAAAACTATTTAACAAGTGCTTATCAGAGTCTTGTTTTCCATCATGCTGGAAAGCAGCATCTGTTATCCCTATTTTCAAAAATTCTGGAGAGCGATCTGATTCATCTAACTACCGTCCCATTAGTCTTCTTCCTGCCATAAGCAAGGTTTTTGAATCTTTAATCAACAAACACTTAATCTCTCATCTTGAATCAAATAACTTCTCGTTCTACAGCTGATGTGCTAACAGTAATAACCGATAGGTTTTACCGTGCATTAGATAGAGGTGGAGAGGTTAAGGCTATCGCACTTGACATTTCTAAAGCTTTTGATAAAGTTTGGCATGCTGGTCTTCTCCATAAGCTTTCTTCTTATGGTGTAGCTGGTAACATCTTTAAGATTATTGAGTCTTTCTTTCCAATCGTAGCATAAAAGTTGTCCTCGATGGACAACACTCTTCTTCACATCCTGTAACTTCAGGTGTTCCTCAAGGTTCAATCCTTGGCCCTACACTCTTTTTAATTTACATTAACGATCTTCCAGATATTCTCACATCTAAGGTGGCATTATTCGCTGACGACACTACCATTTACTTTTGTCATGATAAGAAGCCTACACTCTCTGATTGCTTGGAGGGGGTATCTGAGCTTGAAAAGGATCTCACTTCTGCTACAGCATAGGGCTCACAGTGGCTGGTGAACTTTAATTCAGATAAAACTCAATTTTATTCGGCCAATCGTTATCGTAATAATTTAGATCTTCCTATATTTATGAATGGTAATGTACTAGATGAGTCATCTACCATTCATCTTCTAGGATTAACTCTTACTTCTGATCTTTCTTTTAAACCGTATATCAAATCCATTGCAAAATTAGCATCTGCTAAGGTTGCATCTCTTTATCGAGCTCGACACTTTCTTACTCCAGATTCTATTCTCTATCTCTATAAATCTCAAATCCGTCCCTGTATGGAATACTGTTGCCACATCTGGGGCGGATCTTCTAATGATGCTCTTTCTCTTTTAGACAAGGTGCAAAAACGAATTGTAAACATAGTTGGACCTGCTCTGGCAGCCAATCTCCAACCTTTGTCACATCGTCGTAATGTTGCTTCTCTTTCTCTTTTCTACAAATACTATAATGGGCACTGCTCTAAAGAGCTAGCGTCCCTTGTGCCATCTACTAAAATTCATTCTTGTGTTACTCGCCATTCAATTAAGTCTCATCCTTTTTCTGTGACTGTTCCTAAGTGCTTCAAAAACTCTTATTCTTCTAGTTTTTTTCCTCGAACATCAGTTCTTTGGAATTCGCTTCCTTCATCTTGCTTTCCTGATTCATATAATTTGCAATCTTTTAAGTCATCAGTCAATCGTCATCTTGCTCTACAGATTTAGTCTTTTCTCTTCCAGTAACTTCCAACTCTTATAGTGGGTGCTTGCAGCCTTGTTGGAAGTGAAGATGTTAAAAAATATATATATATATATATATATATATATATATTTACACAACCATAATTAAGTAGCCTCCTCATCTGTCATGGCCTTCTCGGCCTTGAGGAGGTGAACTAACATTAATATATATATATATATATATATATATATATATATATATATATATATATATATATATATATTAGTAGTATATTTTAGTAGTATATATATATATATATATATATATATATATATATATATATATATATATATATATATTTTAAGATTTTATATATATATATATATATATATATATATATATATATATACATATATATATATATATATATTTATATATATATATATATATACATATATATATATATATATATATATATATATATATATATATATATACATATATATATACATATTTATATATATATATTTATATATATATATTTATATATATATATATATATATATATATTATATATATATATATATATATATATATATATATATATATATATATATATATATATGCCAAGTTATCAAACACTTCTACTTAATCTCCTTCTTAGATAGTTCAAGTTTTTTCAGAGAAATATCAAGCTCTTTAATTGCCAGTTATTTTTCTAAAATTGTGTTTTTAAAGGAATATACTTTCTTAAGGATAGTGAAGTTTTGCTTTTCTTCTGCTTCAATGCTTAATTTATCAGCATCAGTTTTCAGAACTTTGATGCATTCTGCAAAAAAAAATTTCTGTTTCATTATAAATACAAATTCTTCATCAATCAAAGTTTCTTGCTTACTTCGTTTAACTTAAACTGATCCTTATTTTCTTTCAACATTGAATTTTATGCTAACCTTTAGCTTTTTAAAAGATCGCTTTGAAGCTCAAACTGATGAATAACAATAGGAATTGATATGGTCATAAACTATTCTAAGAACTGCTTGTTAACACCGAATCCTCATTTTATCCTTGTTCTGAAGTAAAACAAAAACGATAGCACAGACTCTCCACAAAACTGAATACTTTTGAGTTTAGTGCAAACAGACACCAAGAAATTTATCAACAGAATCAGTTAATTCATTAAAAAACTCAAATTTATTTATTATCATTTCATTATTTATTATCAAGACTCTAAATCAAACAAATTCTGCACCTAAAAATTCATCAAATTGTTGTTTTGCATCATCTGCATCATCAGTTGAAAACTATTTTAATGCACATAATCTATCAGCTTGACCCTTGAACTTCAGAGTAGATACTTTCTTGTTTTAAACCTTTTTAGAAATAAAAATAAAGCATTCCTCCTAAAGATTACTTCAATGGGCATCTCTTATTTTAAATTTTGCAATAACATTAACATTTTTACTTAGCATTTCAGTGATATTGTCAATTTGGTCTACGTTTAGTTGGTTATTTGATTTCTCTACTTCAATCTTTGTTAAACTAAATAAATTTTTAAAAATGTTTGGTTTGCGAATCATTTTCATCAAATTTTGCAACATATTTTCTAAACTGTTCAATAAAAATGTCACCATAGGTCTGTCTGTTTGAAATAGAAATAAGAATTCTTTCAATTTTTTAGCAAGATCTTCAAAAACTGCATTCACAAAGGTACTAACTTGTCAAGATAATGATCTAAAAGTATTTTATAGCTCTTGTTTTTGGGACGTCTGCTTTTGCACACTGACTCATAACATTTAATAATTTTAACCATGTATGGTCATACAACAATTCCTCTAGAAGCCACAGATTCATCTTCTACCCTGCAAGTTGCACAAATGTATGTATGTATGTATGTATGTATGTATGTATGTATGAATGTATGTATGTATGTATTTATGTTAGTGTATTCTACAAATAGAATGCTTAATGTTCTTAAAGAACAGAGCAATAAAAAATGAGTAAAAACACTTTTTAATTTTCAATAACTGTCTTAAACAGCATGTTTCACCATCAGTAGGTTCATCAGGAAGCCTGATGGTAAAATATGCTGTTGAAGACAACTAAAAATTAGATAAGTGTTTTTACTAATTTATATATATATATATATATATATATATATATACATATATATATATTTAAAGATAATACTTATACTCTCATCATATGACAAAACAAAGATTGGTGATGCTCTAACTCTGAAAAGAAAAGCTGGTCTTGATAGTATAGTGCTAATCCTAAATTAATAAGACAACCACATTTTGTTTTTATTAATGCAAACTTTGATGCTATGATGATATTGTGCTGTCAGAGAATATGAATTTAAACATTTCATTTAAATTTAAGCACCATCTTAAAGAAAAATGTGACATTATTCAAGCTCCATATTCTTTCTGCCTTGGTAACCAGAGCTTGAGATTGAAGATCTTCAATAGTAGGCTGGGCATTATATTAGTTATATATTATATTTTTAAATAATTATTACATGTTAATAATACTGACAGTAATAGTTAACAAAATTTTTTTTGCATTTTAGAAAACACATAAAAATAAATTCAGTAGAAATCTAGGCAATATTAACAATATTTCTGTAAAAGGTAAAAACATGATAACGAAATATTGAACTATTTCAAAAAAAAAAGGATTTCCAGGATTTATTACTAAAAGGAGTGTTTTTCCAGGACTTTTTATAAAGTTACCAAATTCTAGGACATTTCCAGGTTTTCAAGGATTGCTGGCCACCCTGATTAACCAAAGAAAAGAGAAATCAGCTCAGAAAAAGCAGCCTGAAGGATTTTGAATATTTATTTTAAAACTTCAAACATGCCCTGCTAGTTCAAAATCAATAGAAAGAATATTATCCTTGTTTGGCTTTATCTGGTCAAAAGTTGGAAATAAAGTAGGAAGTGAAAAGGCAAAAAAAGCTAGTGCAAATATATAGACAGTATCAAAATTCGATAATTGGCTTTGTAAAAAAAATGTTAAGATTTCTACTGAATTAATTTTTCTCATCAAAGTGTATTTATTCTAAAAAATCTTATTGAATGAATTTAATTTGTTTGGTTTCCAAAAATATCATTAAAAAAAAACCTTTTGTTCAAACTAATGCTTTTGAATTGACTCTTTCCCTTTATAGCTAATTACTATAAAATGCTTATATTTTCAGATATTTTAGTTTTAATAGTTCACAAAATTATAAAACCCAATAAAATCCAGGTTTTTTAAAACGTATTTTACAAAGTAAGTTTTTTTATGGTAACTCTGGTTTCAATACTACCAATAGTGTTAATGTCATAGAAAAAAAGTAAACCAATTAAAAAACAATAAAACCGCAATAAAGACAAAAATAAAAGAACAATTAACAATGATAAAAAAAGAACAATTAACAATGATGAAACTCATACTTGTATTGACAGTTCTTTAAACATATTAGTTGAATCTTCTTCTGCTTTTTTTTTAAAACTTTCAATAGCTTCATTACTTTCATTGACATGAGAATCAATTTTTGTAAGAAGCCTCTTGATTTCTTCATCTTTTTCACTATAACATACAAAGTAAAAATACAGTGTTTCAAAACATAGGTTTATTTAACAAATTTGCTTAAACTAAAAATAAAAAAATTACCAACAATAATGAGCTAAGTATTTGACAGTTAAAACATAACTAACTAGTTACAATACACATAAAATAACCAATCACAATAACTATATCATATATAAACATACATTATTAATAAATCACTTTTCTTTAGTTTATTTTCGTACTCTAACAGTTTATTTTCTAATTCATTTTTTATTAGAAGCATCTAGAAACAAAAAACTAAAATGGTTAAAACTAAAAAATGTTATGAAAATATTTCATACAAATTAAGACAAGCTATAACACACACAAAAAAAAACACTTAATATGAAAAATGATAAAAAGTTGAACAAACTGGGAAAACTATCTACCACTAACAAAATAGTCAATACAAGCTACATTAAAGATTAAAAACTAACAGAATTGTGTAAAGAAATTTTAAAGATATTCTGAAAAATTCATTTCATATTCTAAACAAACATTGAGACGTAGAAAATTTTACAAGGATTTCTTTCTAACATTTTCTAGATAAACTTGTGATTTTTTTTTTTTTTTTTTTTGACACAAGAAATTGTTTTAAAAAACATCTAGGCAAACCTCTCAGCAGGAAATAATATACCTGTTGTTTATGTGCAGATTGTAATTTGACAATTTCTTGATTTGTAGAAACCTTTGTCTCCTAAATAAACTCGCTTACATTAACACTAATTACCATTTTATCATTGTAAAAATATTTTTATAACATTTAAGTCTATATAAATTTTTCTAGACAGTAGTCATGTGCAAGAACATTAAAATATTGATATAAAAAGTTTCATCAAATTTACTTTTTCATTAGACTTCATTAATTCTATTGTTTCTTTTAGCAGGACTAATTCTGCCTCCAAAGATAATATTGCTGATGATTTCTAAAAAAAAACAAAAAAAAAACTAAATACCTACGTTTAAAATGATGCTCTTGCATTTTTAACTTAATTTTATTTTAACACTAAACATCATAAATGGTTTTAAGAAAATATTTTTATACTAAGGTTCAAAACTAAGTTCTCCTTAATAGATTAATTTAATTCAACATCAAGTTGTCCTCAGTATATAAATTTAAACAAGAGACTAGAAGATAAATAAAAAACATCAAATTTTGAATAACTCAAAAACAAGCAGAAAATTCATTTTTGAAGTAACAGTATTCTTAATTTGTACTTACCTAAATATCTTAATATTAAAGTTGAACTTATTTATTCAATGACAAAAAAAATCATTTAACTAGTTGAGTAGATATCTATGTTTTATGTATTTAAAAATATCTTTATTTTATGTATATAAAGATATCTGTGTTTGTATATATATATAAAGATATCTATATTTGTATATATATATATATATATATATATATATATATATATATTATATATATATATATATAAAGATATCTATGTTTGAATGTATATATATATATATATATATATATATATATATATATATATATATATATATATATAAAGATATCTATGTTTGAATGTATATATATATATATATATATATATATATATATATATATATATATATATATATATATATATATATATATATATATATATATATATCCTTGCTAAATTATGGTGTATTAGGTACAGTTATTGACTGAAATTATGTTTTAGTATCGCTTTTGGATCAAATATTAATTAATGAATTATAGCAGTAATACTGATAGAAAAGTTTTCTCTTTAAGAATTTACTCAGTAGAAATGCTTAATGCTTTTTTTTTATGCTTAATGCCAAATGCTTATTATTTAAATTTAAAAAGTTGATTTTAAAACATTAAAAAAAGGAGGTTAAACCTTCTAACGAAAGTTCTAACAAAAGAAAGAAAAAAAAGCCTTATAACAAAGTTTAAACCTAACTTCTTAAATGAAAAATAATAGTTTTTTTGTTTTTGTTTCTAGTTAGTTAAATTTTATATTATTGTATAAACAAGAAATATTGCTCAAACTTTTATTGTTGTAGTTATCAAGCTCTATATCATTCGATTGGCAAGATGGTAGTATTGATTTTTTGAAAGATCATTTTTTACTGAAGGTACATTTAGAGTTTATATAAAAAATGCAGACCGAGAAAGTTAAGCGCATGGGTATATGCCAAACTTTCATCATTGTGTAAACAAATGTTTCTGTACAATGGATGTCAAAATTTTTAGAGAACTTTTTAATAGCTGAAATACTTTTTACTTTTATACTACTGTTATGATTTTGTTTAAAACTTTTTTTGAAAAAACCCACGGTTTTTAGTTTTTTTAAAATGTTTTTTTTCAACCCTGGTAGTGAACTTTACTGATGTTGCTTACTTATATCATTTATATAAGTTTGGATATATATTAACATTAATATGAGTAATAATTTTCAAATGGTTAAAAGTTGAATTTTGTTGTTAGCCTTTTTTTTTAAATGCCACATAAACTCGACTTTATACAAAATTTTATTAAAGATAACTTAAGTTATTTTAAACTATTTCAAATAAGTTATAGTTAAACTATAATATAAATTACAAATGAAATCTAAATTCATTATATAAAAAAGATTTTATTTCTTTATTATTTATTATTTTTAAATAGTTTCTGCTTAACATAATAATTTTTTTGTTTGTTTTATCACAAGTTAGTTTTTTTTGTTTCTTTTGTATTTAATTAATTTATATTTGTAAAAATAATTTGTGCTCATTAATAAAAATTATGTCAGGAACGTGATTTTGAATAAATAAGAAAAAAATTATTTAATTCAATTAGTGAAAAAAATCTCTAGGACAAAAACACTTTTCTTTACTTAGAAGTTTTATGGTTCCTTTTACACATTTAAATCTATGATGGAGACATCACAAAACTTTAATGTTTTTACAAATGAATAAGTTTGCAAAAAAAAAAGGAAATTATTTTTTGAAGAAGTATTGCAAAACCATTTTACATTCCTTAAACATTAAAATTAAACTTTTAACATTTAAAATCATATTTAACTGAAAGTTTTTTATTTAAAAAAAAAGTCGCTATCTGTATTTTTTATTTAAAAATGAAATTAATTAACAAATATGGTTAACTTGCTTTATACAATGAATTATTTAACAAATGTGGTTGACGTTTCTTACAATGAATATCTTAATCTAAATAAATGTCACATAAACAATATAAAAAAACATTTGTTTAAATTGTTTAAATATTGCAAAAAAAACAATTGTTTAAATATTGCAATGGATTAAGGTTTTTGCTTAACGTAAATTGTTAAACGAGTAGTCGAAATTGCCATTTTGTATGTAAAATGCGTACTGCCTAATGCTTCTTAACAAGACCTGAATTAAAGTATTAACTCAGCAGAAACAACACGTGTTAAAGAGATCTAAAATGTATTTTAGACACTCAAAACATATCTAACATCCATTCACAGTAACAGTTTTTTAAACACATATTTATTGGAAAAACAAATAATAAAAGCAACTCCAATTTTTTTTTTTTTTATAGAAGGACCAATATTCACAACCAGTACAGGAAATTATTGTTGGGTAAGGCACTGTGTGTGTGTGTATATATATATATATATATATATATATATATATATATATATATATATATATATATATATATATATATATATATATTAACAAACACACTAAATACTTACTTTTAAATTTTGCAGATCCTGTTCCTTTTGTAAATTTAAAATATGCTCATTTTTTGTATTTAGTTCATCGATAAACTTTTGATGTAGTTTCTCTAGTTCCAGAGCTTGATTTTTTTGTTGTTGAAGCCTGAAAAATATTTTAATAAAAATATATTCCAAAATTAGACAATCATATAGATGGGCCTAACATATATACGACAATTAACTAGTTTTCAATTTTCAAAAACCAAAAAATCTTATTGCTCTTCTACTTGATATTATATTCTTCAATTTGAATTCTTTGCTTTTCAATTATGTCTTTATATTCTTGCTAAAGATAAATGAAATTATATATATATATATATATATATATATATATATATATATATATATATATATATATATATATATATATATATATATATATATATATATATGTGCGTGTATGTGTGTGTATGTGTGTATATACATGTATGTATATATTTATATTTATACAAGGCTCGATATAATTTTTTATAAAGTCCCAAAATGTTCAAACAAAATGTGTTTGGGTCAGACAGTGTCTGATTAAATTTTTATTGTTTTTAATATAATTTTTATTGTTTTTTCTTCCCATGATTTAAATGCTTGTTTTTTTGTTTATATTTTTACAATAATTTGTTTAAAAGTTTTTTTTTAAACTTGACTTATTAATCAAAGCACAAAATGAATAATATTATAAATTACTATTTTAGAAAGGCTAAGTTATTTTTTAAACAACTTTTTTTTTTGCAATTTTTTAAATATTTTTAAAAAAATGTTTATTTAATTAAAAAATATTATATATTATTTTCTTTTAAATAACTTAATTTTGTCTTTCAATAATTTAAATAAAATTTGTGTTAATTAAATTGATTGTTTATTAAATTTAATTTAATAAACAATCGATATAATTAATTTGTAAAAGCTTTTTGCATAACATTAATAAAACGTTTTAAAAGATAAGTTTTAAAGTAATTTATTTCAAACGCAATAAAAAATGTATCAAGAAGAAATTTTAACTTCGAGTTTTTTGAGTTTTACTATAAAGCTTTTAATTAATTTTAAATTTACATTACTTTTAATTACATATATATATATATATATATATATATATATATATATATATATATATATATATATATATATATATATATATATATATATATATATATATATATATATATATATAATAAAGTATTATTTCATAGAATTTAATTTCCTTTGGTTAAAATGTCCGAATATTTTGTAAATTGATCGGACAATCTGATGGTTTCTGATGTAAATTGACCAGACAATGTCCGATGTCTGACGTTAAATTGAGCCCTGTATATATATATATATATATATATATATATATATATATATATATATATATATATATATATATATATATATATATATATATATATATATATATATATATATATATGTATATGTATATATATATATATATATATATATATATACATATATATATATATATACATATATATATATATATATATATATATATATATATATATATATATATATATATATATATATATATATATATATATATATATATATATATATATATATATATATATATATATATATATATATATATATATATATATATATAAACACATCTTAAAAGCCTTGAAAAAATTTTGTTGTTGTTGTGCACCTGTTCATGTCTATATTTGTAATTTTCTCTTTCGATAGTTTCATTACATTTTGTTTGACTAATAAGACGCTCATTGCACTTTTTGATTTCTTCTTTCTATGATAAGGAAAAATTAGTAATAGTAAATGCTAACAATGAGTTTGCGTTATGAAAAAATTTTAAATTCTATTATTTTAAAACATAAAAACACACACTAGAAGACTGCTATCTTTCTCCATTATATATTTAATTGAGTTTATTTTGGCCTCAGCTTCATTAAAAAGTTGGTGAATATTTTCCCGGTGTGAGCATTGCAACTTGTACATTTCTAATTCGAAGCCACTGAGTTTATCACATAACTAAATAGTAATATACATATACATATCACATAACTAAATAGTAAGTAATAATATATATATATATATATATTTATATATATATATATATACATATTATATATATATATATATATATATATATATATATATATATATATATATATATATATATATATATATATATATATATATATATATATATATATATATACATATAAATATATATATGTATATAAATATATAATATATATATATATATATTTATATATATATATATATATATATATATATATATATATATATATACATATATACATATATATATATATGTATATATGTATTAGTGCTAGCATATATCTTCATGAGAGTACTCATTGAATTAAAGTTTATTAAAATGATTTAAATTAAAACAGAGCTGTATTTATATATAAATATTTTTAAATAAAACTACGGAAAAAACACAAAAAAACAAACAGTTCTATTTGTGTTAATAAGTATTTGTGTTAATAAGGTATCTATAAATAGGAGGTAATCCACTGGTATTTAGGGTGGTAGCCCTCCTATCAAAGACAAACTCATCATTGTTAGAGATATAAATACAAAGAAATACTAACATGGAAATGGATTTTTTAAAGCAGGAAAATTGGCCAAGTTTAGGACCAGGAAATCATACGGGCTCTAAAGTCTTACATGATTGGTGTGGTAAAATTTCAAAAGTTTTATTATTTCTTAAAACTAAAATGCAGGCAAATGAATTAGAGCATTTGAGACTTTTTTTCTACCTCTATCTTGAAATAGAGTTAGAAAAAAATAAAGCACTTGAGAAAAAAATATTAAAAATGGAAAATGACTGTCTGCAGAAAGGGTTAGAAACCTGTATTGTGGTACTAGAGGATGAAAAAGACTCTCGAGAATCATTGCCAAAAAAATCGTACTCAGATGCTATAACAAGTAAAAATTGGTCTACCTCTTCTTCTAAAACGAAATCCCCAGTTGAACAATTAACTGTTGTAAATGCAGCTATTAATGAGCAAAAAAATAGAGAAAAAAGAAGAAAAAATACTATTGTCTATGGCCTTCCTGCATCTAAAAAAGCTACATTGCAAGAACAACATGAGGAGGATAAAGAACAAATTAGTAAACTATTTCAGAAATAAATGTAGAAATCGTCCCAACATTCCAAAAAAGGCTAAATACAAAACAAACTGGAAAACCAGGACCAGTATTAGTGATTTTTAATGAAGATTCTGAGAGAAATCCAATTTTAACAAAATCTAAATTATTAAGAGAAAAGCAAGATTACAAGGAGGTTTTTATTTCGCCTGATTTAACTGAAGCAGAGAGAATGGAAAACTATGAGCTTAGAAAGAAACGTGACAAAATGAATGGTGAAAGAATAGCAAACTCACCCTTTAGATATGCAATCCGTGGAAATGGAATTGTCAAATTTAAAATACAACTTAACACAACAACATAAAAAATTAGTAAGTTTGTTATCATTTAATGTTTTATATACGAATGCAACATCTTTAGTAAACAAAGTTGAAAAATTTAAAATCTTACGCAGTTTTAAAAATCCTTAAATAATTGATATTACAGAAACCTGGTTTAATGAGACATCGGAAATTTATTTGGAAGGATATTCTTTGTATAAACGAAATAGGGGGATGTGCGTAGAGGAGGAGGGGTTGCGCTATATATAGATAGCAACTTAATATCTTATGAGGTAAATGAAGGTATATTAAATAGAAGCAAAATTGAACAAATATGGATCATTATAGTTGCATATGATAAAAAATATTAAATTGGTTGCGTGTACAGACCAAGCGAACAAGTAGATATGCTTGAAATGAGTCAAATATTCACAGAAGCTTGTAAATTAGTAGAAAAAAATAATTTTGCAGATTTGTTAGTTGTTGGTGATTTTAATTTTCCAAATGTAAAATGGTCGAATGGATACATTAATGATATTTTAGTAGGTGAAGATTCTGTTGAAAATGAATTTATTAATATTATATATGAATGTTTTTTGTACTAACACATATCAATCCCAACCTTTCAAAATGCACAATATGTTACAAAAAATACCTTGGATCTTATTTTTCAAAAAACAATGAACGAGTCTATCAACTTGAGTCTAATCCAGTTCTAGGAAATATAAATCATGGACATTTGGTTTTAACTTGTAAATTTAACCTTGATGCTATTGCAATGGAAAATTATCCAAAGTATAAAGTTGATTACAGTAAATGTGACTATCCACAAATAAGCATTGATAAAATTGACTGGAATTATTTATTTGATGGGTTATCAGTTCAATTTATGTATGATCTGTTTATTAAAAAAATTAGTCAATCATGTAATGCTTTTATTCTAATAATTGACATAAATTTAAGAAAGAAAAGAAAAAATAATCCATGGTTTACCGATGAAGTAAGTCTTCTAGTACGTTTAAAACAAAATTTGCGTTATCAAAATTTATCATCGAACTGGAAAGATTTGAATAAAGTAATGAAATATAAAAATATTTGCAAAACTGTGAAAATAGAATCGCGTAAAGCAAGATGTAACTATGAAAATGATCTTGTTGAAAAATCAAAGGTAAATTTGAAACTGCTATATAAATATGTGAATAGTCAAAAAACGATTAAACAAGTAATTAAAGCATTAAGAGATCAAACTGGTTGCGTAACAAATGATCAAAATGAAATTGTTGAAATTTTAAATAAACAATTTCAAGATGTGTTTACCATCAAAAATTCTACAGAAGAGCTTCCACAAATCGAGAATTTAGGGGATATTATTATTGATGCAGTTAATATAGATTATTTTAATGTTTTAAGTAGATTGAAACATGTTGATATGAATAAAACATATGGAGTTGATTCTATACATCCGTTGATTTTGAAAAATTGTGCGGATTCCGTAGCATTGCCATTAACTTTAATTTTTATAAAATCTTTTGTTAAAAGTGAACTACCAACTCAATGGAGAGCAGCAAATATTACACCACTATTCAAAAAGGGAGTTTAATTAGAAGCTGCAAATTATAAACCAGTGTCATTGATGTATTTCGGTAGATGAAGCACTTTTAGATTTTGTTAAAGCTTTTGATTCTGTTGCTCACAAAAGACTATTGATTAAACTATCTTCATATGGAATTAGTAGTTTATTATTAAAATGGATTGAAGCTTTTTTAAAAAACAGAATCCAAAGTTAGTTATCTAAGTTTGTTTCTTCATGGCGCAAAGTTTTCAGTGGTGTTCCGCAAGGATCCGTAATAGGGCCCTTATTATTTGTTATCTTTATTAATGATATATCAAATATATTTAAAAATAAGTCAGAATTGTATGCAGATGATACAAAAATTCTTTCAAAAGTGAATGAAATAAATGTGGAAAATAGCTTGCAAAAAGATCTGGATAGTGCAGAGGAATGGTCTAAAAAGTGGCTCTTGGATTTTTAATTCTAGTAAATGTGTTATAATGCATTATGGTATAAATAATCCGCGATTGAAATATACTTTAAATGGTGTTGAACTGAAAGATTCTGAATGCGAGAGAGATTTAGGTGTATATTTTTCTACAAACTTGAAATGGAAAAAACAAACTTTATCAAGTACTTCTAAAGCAAATTCAATGATGGGTATGTTAAAGATGACATTTTCACGAATTGATGCAAAATTAGTTAAAACATTGTATAAGGTATTTATTAGACCTCTTATTGAGTTTGCAGTACCTGTTTGGTCACCTTATTTTAAAGGAGACATATCACTTTTGGAAAAAGTTCAACACAGGATAACTAGATTAGTTCCATCATTAAGGAAAATTAATTATGAAAAGAGATTGGAAATATTAGATATATCTACATTGAAAACAAGGAGGGAACGTAGGGATTTAATACAAGTTTTTTTTTTTTAAATTACTTAACAGATTTGAGGAAATTGATTTAATTAATGAATCGAAGCTTAAAATTGACTCAATTACTCGAGGTCACAATCTTAAATATAAAAGAGAAATTGTGAACTATTTACCTCGGCATCATTTTTTATTAAATCGTACGGCCAATTTATGGAACGCTTTACCGGAAACTGTTGTTACTTCAAAAACTGTCAATCAATTTAAGAATAGATTAGATGAGTATAACCCCAAATCAAAGAAGTTTTAACTAAATATTTTTAATATATATTTGGATTAATGGTGTCAAAGTGTGATAAACCACACTCGCTGGATTCGCCCAGTTACAGTTTAACTACTAACTAATTAACTAACTAACATATTTTTCACTACTATAAGTTTCATAAGAGCAACTAAATCCTGATATGCAGATGACAATAATAATACTTAACGTACTAAATACTAAACATTTTGGGTATATAGCGCGTATATCTTTTTAAATGGATAAATTACGATTATTTAAGCGCATTAAGCCTAGATTACTTTTTCGGGTTACATTATCAAGCTATATAATTTTTTCTTTTTGTAATACTATTTTGCTGCTGTGATATTTTATTGATAGTTTTATAATTTGTGTTTAAAAATAAAATAAATTTATTTTATAAATAGTTTATAAATAAAATAATTTGTAAATTATTAATGAATAAAATAGTTTATAAATAAATTTTATAGATTATAAACACAGTTTATAGTTATAAAAATAGTTTATAGTTTATAAACTTTAAAGTTTATAAATAAAAAAATAAATAGTTTATAAATAAAATAAACGAAATAAAATAAAAATATAAATAAAAATAAAATTTTTTTATTGCCTTAGCTCCAAGTGCTCATTTGTTTTAAAACGCAAAACAAACAAACATATGTTATCCATTTAAAAAGATATACACGGCATATACCCAAAATGTTGTTTTCAAGTATTACTTTTGTCATCAGCATATCGATCCCCACCACGTCCCTGGTAGTACCGCGCTCAACTCGTTTCTCCGCGCAGCGGCCTTGTTCGTCAAGGTTCGTGTTTCGGAGTTATAGAGTTGAGAGAGGGTTATAGCCACAAAATAAGTAGCCTCCTCATCTGTAGTGGCCTTCTCGGCCTTGAGGAGGTGAAGAAAAATAAAAAAAAAAAATATCAAGATTTAGTCGCTCTTAAGTTTCTATCATGCTAAATGCCATTTAGCATAAAACTTATAGTAGTGAAAAATATGCAGTTTTATTTATTATATATATATATATATATATATATTTATATATATATGTATATAAATTTTTTTATACATTTATATATATATATATATATATGTGCATATATATATATATATGTATATATATATATATATATTTATATATATATATATATATTTATATATATATATATATATATATATATATATATATATATATATATAATATATATATATATATATATATATATATATATATATATATATATATATATATATATATATATATATATATATATATATATATATATATATATACATATATATATATATATAATGACATATCGAACATAAAATCAAATCCCAATATCAAGATATTGGGATTTGATTTTATGTTCGATATGTCATTCTTTAGTTGTTTTTTTTTTTTTTTTAGTTTTTTTTTTTTTTTTTTTTTTTTTAGTTTTTGGAATTTGGTGGAAGCTTTTTTAAATTTTATTGATTTTACTAAAGCAAATAATTCGGCTTCAAAGTGCTCAAGTTCAATTGCATAAGAAAAAAATTCATACTAGATAACTACAAACCAGAAGACTAGAGTTCTCAGTTTTCTTTTAAATAGAATTATTCTCATGAAAAAAAATCATACTTTATCTGATGATTGCAATAAGCAATCATCAGATAAAGTATGATTTTTCCTTATTTTGTATGTATGATCATTTAAGTCTTCATATTATATATATATATATATATATATATATATATATATATATATATATATATATATATATATATATATATATATATATATATATATATATAAATTTTATATATATATATATATATATATATATATATAAAATTTAACATAAATTTAAAATACAATTGATATACAATTTTTTCAAACTCTTTTTCTGTTTCAGCAGCTTTTTCTTCTGATTTTTTTAAACTCTCATTAGCATGTCTATTTGCAGATTTTAGAGTAGACAACTTTTCATTTAAAGTACTAACTAAAACAAAAACACAAAAAAAATTAATTAAAACTATTAGCAATTTATTGAATTTCTTTATATATATAATTTAAAATAATTAGTTTTAATTTTCGAAATTAATAAAATTAAGAAAAAAAACATTTCTATTTTTATATTTCAAGAACTAAATTAGTTTAAAAAATTACTATAAGAATAAGTTAAAAATTAAATATAATTATAACTTTATATTTAAATTTTTATGAAAAGATTATAACAGTTAACATTGTTTTATATTGAAAATTAGTGATGTTGCATATATGTTTTTTTTTGCTCAAATTTAATCAACTTTAGAGTTAATTTTCTATAACTCAGTGTAACACTAAGAAATGAGTTCACAACATTTTCTGACTTATAAATCAAAAAAGCAAAAAATTATCAAATTGAACTGATATAGAAGTGCACAAAAAAAAAATTATATTGAAAATAAATTAAATTTTGATTTTACATCATCTTCATCATCTTTTGATTGGTTATTATTATCATAAGTTTTTTATTTACAAAGAATTTTTATTGCAGTATTTAAAGAAATAATTTTATCAAATTTCCTGATTTTAATAAAATTTTAATTTCATTGTTTTATTATCTTACAATTATCTCTCATGAGTAGAAAAAAGAAAAATGTTGACAAAATTTGTGTGTACTTGTTTTAGGATCATGTTTTTCTTTTTTGGAATGTAGTTAGTACATATTTAAGTTATATTCCAAATCTTTGACATAAACTTAGTATTTGCAATTTTTATTTATGTTTCAGAAAATACTTTTTAAATATCTTTTGAAATATTACTCAAACATAAAAGAAGATGATGAATGATGATGATGATGGATGATGAATGATGATAATGATGACAATGATGATAATGATGATGATGATAAAATCAAAAGTACTAATAAGAAAGTGATACCTACTTTTGCTTTCCAGACCTTTGTTGACTTTTTCAAGTCCTTCAATTTTAGCTTCATAAAATTTCTTAACATCGGTTATTTCATCATTTTTTTGTTCAACAACCTGAGTAAATTAAAAAGAATAATTTGATACAAAAGAAAAAAAAAATTCATAAATCTCACAAGCTTTAAGTAGCAAAAAAACCTTTTTAACAATTTGATCATGTTGATATTGTGCTTCCAAATTAGTTTTGTGTATCTTTAATGCACTAGCTTCTGTTCCTGTCTAGAAAACATGAAAAAAAAAAAAGTTTAACAAGAGCAGTACGTTTAACAAAAGCTTAGACAAATATAGTTAATAGATTTAAGAATATAAACAAAATTAAGTAATATGCATACTACAAATAAGTTTGAAAACTATTTAGGAAGCTTTTATTTTGAAAAGAAAATACAATATATAATTTTATAAAATGATTAAAATAAAATTACTTTATTATTCGATTATTACCTTACTTTAGAGCTGGCTTTTTATTAAACCAAAAGAAAAAACTTAATCAAGTTTTTTGTCTTATCTTAAATTATTTTCCTGTTCAATTTTAAACATGACAAAATTTAAACATGTGGTTATTTTTTTTACTAAACTCAATTTCCAAAGGTTCCAGAGGGATCTATGGTCAAAGAGACCATACTTCTATTTTAAATTTTATATAAATATAAAATTTAAAATAGAAGTATGGTCTATACTTCTATTTTAATTTTATTTGAAATCCTCAACTTTAAAGTAAATTCAAACCTTATTAGGCGAGGTAGAAACCCAGATAAACAGGTCAATCTATATATCTATTTAGAGTTACTTATGGTTAAAATTTATGATTTATAGTAAACAGTAAAGATTTATTGTTAATGTTTTATAGTTAACATTAATGATTTATGGTTAAAAGTGAAAACTTATGTTTACCATTAAGAACTTAAGGTTGTTTACTTTATTGATCTACAGTTATGATAAGAGTAAAAAAAGAACTTTACAAAGAATAATAATGGATAACAGAATTTAAATACTTGAGTTCTTTCTGTACTAATACTCATCACTACATAAGTTATTATTAAAAAATATCTAATAAAGAATAAAGTATCACAAGTAAAGTAAAGTACAAAGAACAAATATAACACATAAAAATTAAAAATATTAAAAACCTCAGTATTATGCAAAGCATTGATTTTGGAGCTTTTCTTTCTGTTTCTGACATGATATTCAGTTTTAATTTTATTTATTTCCAAGTCTTCATCAGAAAAAGAATTTGATTCATTTTCATTATTAGGATTGGAAAACTTTGACTTGAACACTCCAACATGTTTAACATTTTCATTTAGTTGATTTTTTTTCAGCAAAAAATGACTGGATAACATAAATCTAAAAGTTATCATTATCATCAAAACCAATAAGTCAAAAAATTCAGTTAAAGCTTTAATTGTTACTATGAAAATAGTTTCGTACAAACAAATATTTACAGAAAAAACTTGATCTATAAAATATCATTTTGAAAATAAATTTTATCATCTTATTAATTTTTAAACTTTATTTAAAAACCGCCCTTTAAAGCCATAAGTCAGTGCTGTAAAAACAGTATATTTTTTAAAACATTTTGTTGATAACTTTAGCTCTGTGGATGGCAACATACTTTAATTATGTTATTTTACTTATATTGATCTAGTATATCTCCACAGAGGTTGATTTAATCAATCGCAATAGTCTGAAGGGATTTTCGATCTTAAGTTTTAATTTTTTTAAAAGACCCTTCAATTTTACGATCTTAAATATTGATAAAGTTAATAGAGAACCGTTTTGCTAATTTTTTTCTATTTTTAAAGTAGTAAAAAGATATTTTTAAAGTAGTAAAAATATATTGTTTATAAAATAAAAGATTTTAATTATTTAAAAAAATAAAGAATAAAGTGACATTTCCTAAAAATATTATTATAAAATTTTATTTATTTTAAATTTAAGAGGTATGGTTTAATGTTTTAAGAAGTGCTCTTTTCTTGAGTTTTTGATTCATAACCCTGACTATACTTAATCAAATCCTGCCTCTGTCAAATATTAGCATTGACACACACACCTACAGTCACATCTCAAACACAAATAAAAACAATTTTCAATTGCTAATTTCTATACCTTTCTCGTTTCTGTGGTGAAAAAATATCTTTGTAAACTAACAAATTGTTTTCAATAGATAATAGTGAATCTGTAAAAAAAACATACCCTATATAAAGTATACAGCATTTATGCAAAAAAAAAAAAAAAAAGAATTCACAATGTGTTTTTGAATAAAAGTATTACAAATATAATATATTATAATAAACAAATATATAATATAGTATACAAACATAATATATATATATATATATATATATATATATATATATATATATATATATATATATATATATATATATATATATATATATATATATATATATATATATATATGTATGTATATGTATATGTATATGTATATGTATATGTATATGTATATATATATATATATATATATATATATATATATATATATATATATATATATATATGTATATATATATATATATATATATATATATATATATATATATATATATATATATATATATATATATATATATATATATATATATATATATATATATGAAGAGTTTATTTTCAAAACGCGGTAAACGCCATTTTAAAATTTTTTTAGAAATTGTGTGGTTTATTTTTAGTTTATAAGGACCTAGCAGACATTGTGTCCGAATATATGCTAAATGAAGTATAACCCAATATTTTTTTACTTCTAAAAAACATTTATTTTCAAAATGCGGTATAAAATTTTTTATTTGTTTTCAAAATGCGGTATTTAATTTTGACCAATCCGTGGCAAATGTATATTACTTCTGCGCAAGCGCAAATATTTTAAAGTTGCGTTAAAGAAATGGCGGATTGCGATGGACAAGATTAATGTGTTACCTAATATCCTATTTCACATAGAAAAAAAGATATGATGTATAAAACAAAAGAAAAGAAAAGCATTTCTTAATTCTAGTGTTCATTTAAACTACCATGCTTTGTTTGTTTAACTGAACGAATTATGGAATAATGATAGAAAATATATTAAAAAGGCAACTTAAATTAATAAGTTTAAATATATTTGTTACCTGTTTTTTAATGGAAAGCATTCAACAATAATACTTCCTTTTTATTTTTTGTTAAACCGACAATTGCTTTGTTGCAAATAAAATGAGGCTATTGCAGTATTTCATTTTTAAAAATTTTATTTTGTTCAAAAATATAACGATGACTTTTATGTTATATTAATTGTCCATTAGTTCTATGGAGAAGTAAAAATAGTGATCATCATTGTTACAACTACACAACACTAAAAAAATATTATTGTTTATTGTCCATATTTAACTCTCCGAAACAAATATAAATTTACAATTGCGAATTGTGAAATGTAATAGTTTACATTGCTTTAATAAAACATTGTTTACATTCACATTATCAGTAAAATATAATGACCAAACATTAAATACACATACTTGTTCAATATGTGTATTTAATGTTTTAAACTTTAAAAGACCTTATTCAGGTCTTTTAAAGTTTAAAAACTTTCCATAACATCTTTATAAAATAGATATACCGCATTTTGCTAATAAGCTTTAATTGGATATACAGTATTTTGAAAATAAATGCAAACTTATTGACAAAAAAAATAAATTTTTTTATTTAATAATATTTTATTTATTAACATTATATAATATACTTTATGTATATATACATTAAGAAACAATAATTTTTCCAAATATATGAGACATGTTGGTGTGGCGAAAAAAGTCAATTATCTCAATACCGCAAAAATGGATATATCGCATTTTGAAAATACACTCTTCATATGTATATGTATATGTATATATATATATATATGTATATGTATATATATATATATATATATATATATATATATATATATATATATATATATATATATATATATATATATATATATATATATATATGTATGTGTATATATATATATATATATATATATGAGTATATATATATATATATATATATATATATATATATATATATATATGTATATATATATATAAATTTAAAGTTTCTTAAACCTAAAACAAGCCATAGTTAAAAAATATTGTAAATATTTAAATAGACAAAACCAGGTGCCAATAAATCTTATGTTATTTGTACAACAGATTTTTAAGAAAAGTAGCAAAAATATTGAGGCAGGCCATTTTATTTAATGAAAAAGTTAAAACTAACAAATACTCAAGTGATACAACGAAACCATTTCAATAACATATATATCAGGGCTAAATATATGATATTTTTATTAAATATAAAGCGTTTTTGAATTTTAATTACTTTAAATCTCTGAGTTGAAACCAATAATTTCCTACTTCTATTTTAAAGTTAAATTTAGCATGATTTTCTTTATGAATAAAGTACATCATAGTAAATTTACTTTTAAACTAAATCAAAACAATCGTTTTATGAAGAGTATTTAAGAATAAGTTACTTAACTATTAAATATACTTAGTATGCTTGGAGATATTTACTTGCAAAAGTTGCATAGAAATGATTCAATAGCAAAATTTTTTTTAAGTTATTTAAACAAGAATTTTTTTTTTAAATTATTTAAACAAGAAATTTTGAATAGAATACAAAAAACGCAAAACTATTTTTTTATATTTTCATTTTATTTATTGCGATATCAAGATTAAACATTTTCTATAAATACGCAAGCTGTCTAATAAAACCAAATTTTTTTATCACTTCATTTTATTGCAAAACAATGTGAATGAAATAAAAAAATACAAATATATATTAACTTTTAAACATAGACTTAAAAACTCTTTATTATAGAGAAAAGTGGAGCACCATAATACACTTTTGTTTTAAGGGTCATAACAATTTTTTTAATACACTTTTTCTATAGTCAATAAGTTTAATTTGTAGCATAAATTTATACCTCCAAAATGAAATTTATTAATAACCAGAACATAACATGTTAAATTTGACTATTTAAAGTAATAGTAGACTATTTAAAGTAAAATTAAAAATTTGTATCAATGTACCCATGAGGTACCTTGACACAAACTATGAGCATCATTAAAAACGTAAATAGAAAGCATAAAATCCAGAGAAAAGTCAAGCCAAACAAATTAATAATCATAACCCAATTAATGCATCCAATTGTTCAAAAATGCATCCAATGGTCCAAATCACATTTCAGAAATTTTGATAATATATCAAAATTTCTAAAACGTGATGTGGACTATTGGATGCATTAATTTGCTTATGAATATTAATTTGTTTGGCTTTAAGAATATTTAATCTTGATATTGGTATAAATTTATTCTACAAATTAAACTAATTGCTTAAAATAAATGTGTATTTAAAAAATTGTTACAACCCAAAAACCAAAAATGTTAAATGTCATTCTTAAGCATTATCAAATAATGCATCAATAAATAATCCAAAACATACCACTAAGAAAGGAATACTTTGATACAAATAATATAAATGTTTTGAAACGACCATTTCAAAGTGTGGACTCGAATCTAATAGAAAATTTGTGGTATATTTTAAAAATTGGGGACCGAGCATTTTGATGCAAAGACAACTAAAGAAGCTATAATGAGCACATGAGATAATATAAAAACAGAAAAGACATTAAATTTAGTCAACTCAAAGCTAAATAATCTAGCTGAGGTCATCAAGGCCGAAAGAGGCCCCACTCGATACGAATTTTTATGGAATTTGATCAATTTGACATTATTTTTGTATGATTTTTTTTTTTTTTTTTGAAGTCGATTTTATGCATCACTAGATCAATTGTGGAAAACTCAATAGGTTTGAAAAGCAATTAATTCAAAAAAAATACCACAAATAAAATCTTAAAACAATACATGATATCTAAAAAAAAAATTTCAATAATTTAGCAAACAACTCATACTTTAGATTCAATATTTAAAATTATGATTTTTTTTTAAGCATACAATTATTTCATTTGCATACTGTATATAGACCATGTTTTTGGAAAAGTAATGAGTTTAAAATTTTACAATGCTAATATTTTCATCAATTTTAATTTATTAAATAGAATAACTCTATTAATTTAACTCTTTTTATTTTTAACGCATTTTATGTTTTTATTGTTATAAATTGTATAAAACAGCAATAAAAATAAAAGAACTTCGGAGTATTGTTTTATTATTGTTTTATATGGCATTTTTTTTTTTTTTTCAAAAAAAGTTGATTAAGGTGTCCCAAGAAGTCCTTACCGTCTTATCACAGAGCACCGCAGAAGAGCATTTAATAGGAAGTTCACGCCTCCTTCCCAACCAATGTCGCAAAACTTGCCCAGAGGTGGGGTTTGAACCACAGATCTTACGTTTCTGAGGCAAGTGTGCTACCACTGCGCCACGGCTGCTCTTTTTACAGTACATATTTAATACTCTTCATAAATGAAATATGTTTAATCATCAGTATGAATGGGGTATTAAACAGCTTTTCAAAACAGTTTGAAATTGTTTAAACACTGTAATATTTGCGTTTTTACTTTAACTTTTCGAAGTATTATATTTTTAGTAAAAATATTTATTAAAGATATTATAACTCAAGCAGTAAACCTTAACATTTAAGCTATTTAAAACCCTGCCTTAAAAAAAAACTATGAGATACAACTTATTGTTACAAAAATTACAATTACAAACTAATATACAAAATTGTGTGTAAAAAAAAAAAAAAAAAATTTATTAAAATGATCAATGAAGCAAATGTTTTAAATAATGATTTAATAATCTAAATTTTACTACAAAAAAATATTTCTTTACATTGAAGAACTTGAAAGAATAAAATATAAGAAAAATCCAGTGTAGCTTGCAAATGTAACTTAATATGCATTATTGTTGTGTTATGGTGCATGAATTTGCGTATCCATTATTACTTTAAAAAATAAAGTTCTAGTAATACTGATGCAATAAAATGTGCAAAATAATATATTTTACTCAATATGTTACAAGATGTCTTATGTCACAAAACGGTTCTTCTATTTTAGTTAAATATGACATTAAAAATGAAAAAATATCATCACTATTTCATGACCCCACATGACAAAGACTTGACTTTTGATGAATTTACTTTTGACTTTATTTTTAAGTCAAACTCTAAATTTACAAATAAGTGCCCTTGTTCAGGGTGTCTCCCAATATTTTTAGGTGGATTTCCTTGATTTTTCTCTGATATTTCCTTGATCCATTACCTTTTTTCTCTGATTTAATTTAAAGTTACCAAACTCAACTTAGAAGTATTAAACTTTGATTCTTTTAGAAAAATCCTATTTAATTGCAAAATATAAACATTATTACAACCCACATTTAAAGTATCAAGAGAAGTTCATAAAACTATGTTTAATAAAGTTTTTATAGCAGACACCCTGTTGTTAAGATTAAACAAACTTCATTAAGGTTTAAAAAAAAAAATTTCATTTGTCTAATGAAAGTACTATAGCTGTTTTGAAATCATCTTTATTGTTGTGCAAGCATACTGTAAGATATTTAAATTTGCCTAATTAATGGTGGGTCAGTGCAAATTATAGTTTATCCTGATCACTATATTTTTGTCAGGTTCGCCAAAATTTTGATGCCAATCATTTGCATGATCTTTCCAAACTTTTTTTTTTATGAATTCTTATGAAGTTTGTCATAAACATTAGATTTCACTTTGAAATCTAGTGTTAATCTTTTTACTTTGGAATCTAGTGTTTATGACAAATTTAAAACTTTTTAAATGATTTTCGAATAAAGTGGCAAGTCAATTAAGTGCTTAATTCCTGATCTTGTTTGTGCAGAAATAACAAATTTCTCAGTTTGAACTTATTTTTGCTATTTATCGATTCATAATGCTACTGCTTGTTAATAATCAGGTTTTTTGTTTATTCAAAACAACTTTTTATAAAAATATTGTGGAATATAATAATATATTCTTTAGGCAGGCTATGAAATAAATATAAATAACATGTTAATTATATTTATAATATCAAAGACATTTTATATGTAGCTAAGCTTGCATTTATTTCAATTAGTTTCAGTTAAATATTATAATTTAAAATGTCTAAAGAATAACTGCAAATATATCTAAATAAAATTAAAAAAATCAACTATTTTTAAAGTTTTAAATTCCAATAGTTTTCAACCTTGTAGAAGGGAATCATCATGAAGCCAGCTTGGTTCAAGACCTATTTTCTAATAAAAATAAACAAAAATTTCTGAAAAATATATTCAGTTAAAAAAATAAAATAAAAATTCCTCCTTTATTTCTAAATTTATACTTTGTTTTAACTAAAGAACAACAAAAAATGACAAAATATTACCTTTTTATTAACATCAATTGAATTAAGATGATCAACCTATATATTCAGAAAGTTAAGAAAATAAAAATAAAAATTATAAAAAAGCTAATACATGCATAACATAACATCAACAAATAACAATAACAAAAATAACATCAGAACTAAGGACTGTATGAAATGCCACTGATATTTTCATATTGAAAAATCTGTTTATATACAAAATAACAGAATGTTTAGATTTATAAAACTTATGTATGAAAGACAATTATTACAACAGCAAGAACAAAAAGTACTTTTTTTATTGTTGCTGTTTTTTCCTTTACTTTTTTTTTTTTTTGCCTTAAAATAAATTAAACCTTTAAAATTTTGCATGGTACCATATCTCTATCAGCATGGTTTCATGCTGATATAGATATGTTGTAATAAACACATACATACAAACATGTATTAGTGTGTGTTGTTTAAAAAAATTTTGAAAAAGTTAATTTTTAAAATTATTAGATTTAAATTTACTTTTAAAAAAAGAAAACATTTTTTTGGAGTTTGATGCTAGCTACATTTTTTTTTAAATTTTATATAAAAATAAACATATTTTTTTAACATTTATATAGAAATAAACAATGTAATAATGTTATGGCAATGTAATGGTTATTTTGAAATTAATAATAAATAACACATTTTCAGACTGTCTATTTTTGCAATTACCTAGTCACATATTTTTATTAACTAGATAGATTTACTATTTAAATAAATTGTTAAATACATAGTCACAGTTTTCTATTAATTAGATAGATTTGCTATTTAAATAAATTGTTATGATTAATTCTAACCATAGATGTTAAAATTTATAGTGTTAAAAACATGTAAAAAGCATAGCTGTTTAAACTTTATTAACAAATTACCATATTAAAATAATAAAACTTAAAATTTTACTGACTCCTTCTACTCACTAGTTTATTTAATATTAAATGTGCACCCATAGCTAAATGCTCTGCAGTTTTGAAGAACCTATTTTGTCTAGAAGAAGAATATTTTTTTTCAATATTAAATTTTTTTCCAAGTATTCCATCACTATTTGTGGCCTGTTGCAAAAACTAAAAAATGCTGCCATAAAGATGTAGAAAAACTCTTTAAAAAAACCTTTAAAATTAAGTTGGCTGCACTTTAAATCAAAAACTTAGATTTACTTAAACTTTTGCTAGAAAAAAGAAATTTTTAAAAGTAGTATTTGTAAAGGACTTTAATTCTTCAAGACATATCTTCATAGAAAAGACTTTTTTAACCCTCAAAAAAATGATTGTCCTTCTGAAGTTTTTTATTTTCAAGGATTGCTTGTGATTCGCCTATCTAGTTTTCCACATGCTCTCTGTTGAACCAATGTATGTTTTGTCGGGTGTGTTTGGGAATGATGCAATGCACTTATAAATTACATTTGTTTTTCTGCAATTTCCATTCATAGGGCAGATTTTGCTTAGTTTAGTCTAATTATTTTATTGTATAAAAATCCTCAAGAATTATTAAACAAAAAAAAAAACAAATATCTAAATGACGCCATGAGAACAAGTTTTTGCTGGACAACCACAAACCAAAAGATTAGATTTTTTAACTAATTTACTTTAAAAAAAACATATTTACACCTGATGATTGCGTTTAGCATGAAACTAATAGTTGTGAAAAATATGCAGTTTTATTTATAAATAATATGTATGTATATATATATATATATATATATATATATATATATATATATATATATATATATATATATATATATATATATATATATATATATATATATATATTATAGGTTATACATATATATTATGTAGCCACGATGCTGAGGTACAGGCTTTCACTTTCAATGTTAAAAGTAAAAAACTAAATAAATATAAATCTCGTTTCGGAAGGAATTTTTTCAACAATTCCGGCAAATCTAGTTCTGGCTGGAATTCAAAATTTCCAATCCAATACACTCCTAGTATAATGTTAGTGATTATTGTGGACATTCTTATTATATTCCTATTATTTTCTAGTATTAACTCCCAACTTAATGGCTTGCAGCCTTGTTGGAAGTGAATTAGATTAAAAAAATAATAATAATGAAAATTTTGAAGATTGATACCAAATTACTCATGCAGAGAAACTTATATTCTTATATTGTGAGCTATCTGTAAAGGCAAACAGGTCCTACCTCTACAATTGCTAACTGCTGAGAAAAATTATTAAGCCATATTACTAGGAAACTAGGATTGATTTAGAGATGTTTAATGCATTCAATATTTATTCAATTGCTCCAGAATACTTATTTTCACACTTTGTTGGGCCATACAAAATTATAAAAAAGTGCCTTAACCCTAACACACAAACCAAACTAACATCCTTCTCAAATTAACATCTTTCCCTCCATTCCATCTGGCATTTACCATTAAAATCATCAAGAATTTAATGATTGATCTTTTCTTCTTTTATATTTATTTAGTTAAAGCGAGATAAAGCTTTTAATAAAATAATTTTATATTCTTGCACACATGCATTTAACATGCACCAGAATAGTCATAGCTACAAGCATACAATGACCAAAAATTTTACATTAATGACAAAAATTTTACATAGTAAAATATATATAAACTTTTCAAATTTTGGTGTTTTTTATTTTAATCTGATCAATTATCTCTCCAAGGAAAATCTTGATATATGACCATGTCAATGTTTATCAACAGTGTTTTTTCATCTAATCTGATCACTTATCTCACTTAGATTGCTGATATCTGATCCCTTATCTTTCTTAAATTTTAAAAAATATGTTGTAGTAGGAAGCTTAGAGGGTAAAAGTTGTTTTTCACTCCAAATAAGTCTACTTAAATGAGTAGCTGATACTTTTTGTTATTATGCTGTGTTATTTTCCATGCCAAGGACTTTACCCTTTAACCATTTTGAATTTAATCTTAAATTAATTTTACTTTTTGCTGTGTTAATAATTTAAAAAATATTGTGTTGCATTAAAGCCATGCTTTTCTCAAAAAAAAATATTTGTGATCATCTCAAGTTTTGCAAAGAACAGAAGGATTTGACTGTTAAAATGGGGCGAGGTGTCATGGCATCAAGGTGTTATGTTTTCAGATGAAGAGCAAGTTAAGCAGTTTGCAGCACGCAAAGCCAATGTTTGCCGACCAACAAAATCACACTGCAATCATGCAGAGCTGATATGTTGAACCTTTTGTTAAGAATGTCCAGCAATTTTTATTCCGGATGCAATCACTGACAATAGTTTTTCTGGTTTACACTTTTTACAACAAAGTGAGACACGCTTTTTTCAACAAAAATTTCAAAACTTATGCTTCTAAATGGTTTAAAATAAGGAAGTTTCATATTATTATGCGCAATAGGGCAATTTGCATTCAAAAAGTATTATCTGATTATTGAGAGTCTGTTGCCTAAAAGCTCTAAAGAATAAAAGTCATTTTAAATGTTTGAAATGCTATACAAAGTACTAGAATTTTTTAATATTATGAGGACTTTATTTTTTTATGTTCATGTAAGTTGTTTTTCAAATAAAGACATTTTTTAGTAATAAACGCATATACTATATGATATAGATATAGTTTTTAGATGTTGGATGGATATAATAGTTCTATGATATTATTGGGTGGATAACATAGTTTATATATATATATATATATATATATATATATATATATATATATATATATATATATATATATATATATATATATATATATATATATATATATATATATATATATATATATATATATATATATATATATATATATATATATAAAGCAGTCTTCTCCGTTTGACAAGTGCTTTCTCACTCTTGCAGTTTTGCGCTTACCCACATGCCCACCAATATTATGGCTGGCAGTTTTTTAAACGCTCACCAAAAAATTTAAAGCATGTTTTTAAATTGCGACAAATATTTTTACTTAATCAAATTCTGATTAAAGAGGTCAAAAAAAAATGTCAGTCACTGTATGTCAGTGCATTTTTGTGCACTGGCAGTAAATTTCAAATGGAGAAGACTGATAAAGAGTTTCACATTTTAAAAATACTACTAATTGTAAACATTAAAAATACAATATAAGCAGGTATAGTTGGAAGCACTCCATCTGTAGGTAGTGTTGTAAATGGTTCATCTAGACTACCATCATGCAACATTGTTAACAGCAATAATGCATAAAGATTACGATTTTTCCTTTAAAAAAATTATAAAAAAAATTATATAACAAAAAAAAAACTTTCAAATTTAAATGCCTAAAATCATTTTTTAACATTTTCAAATTTAAATTCTAAAACTTAAAAAATGCATTCTATAAAAATTTTTTTTTAAAAAGTATTTTATTTTTAAGTAAGTTTAAAAAAAAAAGTATTCTATAAAGAATCAGAATTTTGTATGAAACTATTATACAAAAATACCATAACTTAAACTACTATAAAATTTAAAAATTTAATTATTAAAAAAATATACAAGAAAATGAAAAAGTTTAACCCATAGAAAAGATCCATTTTAACTGGTCTAAAAAGTAGTTGCAAACACAAAAAAAATGATTTGCACACATGCCAATTTATGTAAATCATGCAAAATTGCAGGCAAAAAAATACTTATATATTTAAATGCTAAAAGACTTGAAAAAAAAAGAACTTTATTTTTTTTAACATTTTTACTTCCAACAAGATCGCAAGCAACCACTATTAGAGTTGGAAGTTACTGGAAGAGAAAGATGAAGTTTATAGAGCAAGATAACGATTAACAGATGACTTAAAAGATTGCAAGTTATATGAATCAAAAAAACAAGATGAAGAAGGTGAATTCCAGAGGACTGATGTTCAAGGAAAAAAACTAGAAGAATAAGAATTTTTTGAGCACTTAGGAACAGTCACAGTAAAAGAATGAGACATAATTCAATGATGAGTAATACGAAATTGAATTTTAGTAGATGGAACAAAAGATGCTAGCTCTCAGGTCCAACTAGGTTTAAAATGCATTTTTAGACCTTGTCTGAAAAAAGAATTTGGAAGATTCGCCCAAGATACGGCAACAGTGTTCTATACAAGGATGGATTTCAGATTTATAGAGATAAAGGATTGAATCCTGAGTAAGAAAGGGGCGAGCATGATAAAGAGATGCTAGTTTTGCAATCGATTTGATAAATGGTTTCCAAGAGAAATGGGAAGTAAGAGTTGATCCTAGAAGATTAAGGATTGATGATTTATTGAGTATATTCCCATTTATAAATATCATAGATAAGTATTTGACTTTATGAAAATGAAGGAATTTTTTTTCTTTGAAAATCCCGGAAAATTCCTGAAAATTATTCTATTAAAAATTGATCAAGTTAACAAAAACTTTCGTAAACTTTAAATGGAATTTAGGTTATTTAATTTTTTACAAAAAGGAATTTCTAATATTAGAAAAAGTTAATTTGAATGAATTAAAAAGCAAAAAAAAAATTTGTTACGAAAACTGATCTCGTGAAAATTTTATTTATAGAAAACATATTTGTTTAAATGCAAAAGTTGTCGAATTTAAAATTTTATGTAAAAATATATTAATTTTTTTTTCAAATTAATAACAAAAAACATCCGGAAATTTCTGAAAAAGTAAAAGAATTTTCAAGCTAATTTCCGGAATTCCGGGATTTCCTGGAAAAAACTTATCTATGAAATATAGGAAGATCTAGATTATTGCAATAACAATCGATGAACCCTTAAATTTACAGGAAATGAAGAAGAGTGCTATCCACATACTTATAAATATATCAATAAACATGTATTACCTTTCTGCAATTGAGTATATAGCTTCATTACAAAGTTTTTTAATCCAAGCTCTTATGAAACGACTTTCTAAACAAAAAAGCAACAGTTAAAAAAAAAATCCAATACAAACACTAAAAACAACAACAATAAAAGAAAACTCTGAAAGACAATTAAACTAAATTAATTTTGTTTTATTTAATTTCGTTAAATACATTTTTTTTATAGCTGTTGTTTTTAGATTTATATATATATATATATATATATATATATATATATATATATATATATATATATATATATATATATATATATATTAGGGCTGTACCGGATTTCGGCTCCGGCTCCTGCTTCAGCCGAAATCCGGCCATTTTTACAAATCCGGCCCAAATCCGGCTCTGGCAAAAATTTAGCAAATCCGGCATAATTTTAGCCGGAGTTTTGAATTTTGTCAAATATTTATTACATTTTTTTTGCCCGTGTTTACATGTATACCTAATATTTTATTTATAAAAATCAATTTTTTTTGTAATTCTATATTTTATGAACCTCATATTTGTTTTGGTATTTGTATTTATATTTCTTTATAATTTAATAAGCTTAGTCTAATTTCAAACAACAACGCAACAAAAAATTCTGAAGGGAAGACACACGATATTCTACAATGATGCAGGTATAAAGACTATGATGTCAACCCTAATCAAGTGATTGGATGAGCGTTTTAAAAGCATTGAAAAAAGAAACCTCTTCATATACTGACAAGGCTGGTTGACAATTTAAAACTGCATTCTCCTCATTACAGGCAACACTGACAGCTGAAAAAACAAGATTGAAGTCAATCTGAGCATGCTGAACAGAAAATTAACAAAACTGAAGAAAATCCACCAAAATAAGCCGGGCTTAATAATTTTTCTACATCATCATCATCATTACTCTGGCAATTTATTGATAAAATTATTCAGTCTACGTCCGCTGGTGGCAGGGCACATAAACAACAATTACTAAAAGGCATTAAAGCTCAACTAAGGAAATATCCGAAAGAACCAGAAATAAATAGACACAATGATCCACTACAGTGGCGGAGTGACAAAATCCCGGAAAAAAAGTTCAACAGAATTACTATAAACTTTTAAAACATATGGCCTATAGAATTTCTTTAGAATTTCTATTAATTTATATATAGAAATTGCTATAAAACTTTTTAAATAACAACAATGAAGTTTAACAGAAAACAGCAGTCACTTGGTATTCTGAATAGTCCACATGGTGGACCATGCTCAACACCAAGTAGGGATGTACAGGATTTTGGCTCCTGTAGTTTTGTTTTGAAATCCGGCTCCGATTCCGGCCGGATCTGTCAGTATAAATCCGGCAAATCCGGCTCCGTCCGGATTTGAAAAAATTAAATCCGGTACAGCCCTAATATATATATATATATTATATATATATATACTTTTATATATATATATACTTTTATACATATATATATATATATATATATATATATATTTATATATATATATATATATATATATATATATATATATATATATATATATATATATATATATATATATATATATATATATATATATATATATATATACTTAAAAAAAAAAATGAAAATAGTCAAGAAAGAGAAAAAGACTTTTTTTTTAAGTTTTTTACTTGTTTTTTTACAGCATTATGTATTTATATATATTTTTGTGTATTGTTTATAATGTTGTGTACTTTTAATCTTTGTTTAGTATTGTATTTATGTATTTTTGTGCCTTATTTATATTGTCTTGTGAAATGTTTATATGTGCAATGTTTATTTGTGCAATGTTTATATTTGCAATGTTTATATTCTCATGTACTTTTATTATACAGTCGAATACATAGATGACTATTTGACTGAGGAAAATCCCGGAAATTTTTTTCCATGAAAATCCAGGAATACCCCGGAAAGATTCAAAATGGTGTCAAAGTTTCCTTAATTTTAGATTTTTAAGATTTACTGTAGAGGAAACCTAAAAAAAAAAGTTAATAGTTTTTTTACATAAATATACACTTTATACCATTCTCAAATTTAACAGAATGATGCTTCATTATCATAAAAATTAACTTTTTTTTTTGAATTACATAATGCTGATATTTAACAGCTTATATATTCACCTTTTACATTTGTATTCTGCAAAACGTGAGGCTTCATCTGAATAACCATCTTTTGAAAGGCATCATCTAAAGACTCTTTACTTGAATTCATAACAATTAAAACATAATTTTCTAATTAATGGATAGTCTATTTTTAAAACATTTATTTGAGATTAAATATATTCAAACAAATACAAAAAATAAGCTAACCCAATTAAAAAACACTATTAGTAAAAGTAATAGTAATAATACATCACCTATATAAATGATTTAACGGGTGAGATAATCATGGCAAACTATACACAGTCAACACAAAAATTATTCTAATCATTAATACAATCAAACATTACAGCAAAACTCAAGTAAGCTGGTTGCATGAAGCAAAAAATGGCTACTAAACTTAAAATGCAATTTTTTAATGTGCAGTACACTCAATATGATTCAGTAAAATGTTCTAGTTATGCAAGAAACCATGCTAGAGATATCTTGATTAAATTATATCAAACAACATTAAATGAAAAAACACATTAACACAATTGCAGGGAGAACTAATAGAAATTTTGACCAAATAAAGACCTCTTCTTGTGGATTGATGAAAGTTGATGAAATTATTATACATGCCAATAGTTTCTCCATACTTGGAATTTGCAGCATCTATATGGACCCTTATTACCAAAAAGACATAGAAAAACTTGAAAATAGACAATATAGCGCTACATAAATATATAAATTAATGAGTTTTCGCAATGATGAGAGACTAATGAGATTTAACTTGACTTTAAGAAAACAAGAAGAACAAGAGGTGATATGATTCATTATTATTAAAATTAGAATTATGGATAAAGTTAAATAATGGAATCATTTTCCTAGAATAACTAAGTGTCCAATAATAAGAGTTCATTCACAGAAAATCCATAAAGCATAATCTGGTAAACGAGGGAAAAGCAGGTATGATGAATAAAGGTTGATTTGTCATCAAACTCGAAAATTGTTTGATACACTAATTGTAACTGCCAAATTACTACTTGTTAAAAAAAAAAAAAAAACTGTTTGCCAGAATGTAATGATGAAACGCATATCAAATGCATGTAAAATAAAAAAAGAGCTTTTATACTTAAAAAAAGAGCTTAAGTAAAGTTCTCATCAAATTAAATCAGTAATTTAAAATAGTTTAAAATTAAGTTAAAAATCAACAATATTGTAGAACTTGTATTAAGTTACTTATAACCACAATATTAAATGTATGTGCACAAAATAAAATCAAAAAAAGAGTTTTTAGACTTAAACAAAGAGTTTAAGTAAAGATAACTACTTCTCATTAAGTTAAATCAGCTGCTAAATATAACAGGGTTGCCACTGTTATTTAGGAACAAAATTCCCTGATTTTCCCTGATTTTTTTTGCTAAAAATTTGCTTTTTTCTCCCTGATTTTCCCTGATTTTTTGCTAAAATTTTTCTTTTTTCCCCCTGATTTTCCCCCTTGAAATTTGCTTGATATTTCCAGCATTTAAATGCCCAAACTTAGCATTAAAACTTCCCTAATAAACCCAGAGCATTATATCCCCCAATAAGTAATTAACCAATCAATTTGCTTAAAAATTAAAATAAATAATCAAATACTTCAATCAACATATGAAATTTTTCTTCGAACCAGGGTATATTTAAAATGGATATGTTCAATAGGCATTAAAAATCTGTCAGACTTATCTAGGATACAAGATAACAAAATTCAAAAAAATGAAATGAATGTAATAAATTTCTAACTGTATGTTTTACATACATCGTTTAATACTTTTTTCTTTTCTTCCAAAAAGTATTCTATTTTCCTCCAAAAAGTTTTTTTATTGTAATGAGGCACTACAACACCATTTATCATTTCATTGTTTATTTCTATTTTGTGAGCCTTTAATTTGTTTGACACCATAAAATCCTTGATAGTGCGACAAGATATAAGTGACAGTCTTTTCATTTTTTCACTGAGTATATTACTGGTAATTCTGAAACCTCTCTCAATTAATGCTTGCCAATGACATAAAAATAAATATCAAAACTTTTGACAAAACCTTATAATCTACATCAATTTTATTCGTTTCAAAATAAAAGTAGATGAACTTTTCTCTAACAACTTTAAAAATTGTATGAAAGCTTGATCACATTCATTTGAAGTAATATGTGAGCAAGAAAGAACTAGATGTAGTACAGATTTCATCTGATGAAGAAGATCAGTTTTTTGTTTAGAAAGATTTGACACTGGATTGATGCAAGCAGTTGCTTCCAGAAAAGGAAAGTGATTTAAACTTCTTTCTATTATTTTTTCCAGAATTCCAAAGATAATGAGACAGCAATCTTTTATGAATCTATGATGACATCCTGAGATAATGCATCCTTTTTCCTCAATTCGATAATGTCATGTTCTGCAGCAAATCCTATTATCATTAATTTTAATAGCAGAAAGTTTTCCTCTTTTGTAAAATCATATTATTGAAGTTTCCTGACATTAACGATGCTAAGGAGTTCTTGTTTTATAATTAAACCCATTAAACTTTCAACAGTTGAAAACAAATCTTCAAAAAGAAAGGGAATAATTTGGGCATTGGTTTGATTTTCTGATTTTTTGGTTACATTGCAAGATTTTCTGCAAAAAACTTGCAATGTAACCAAAAAACTTCAATTTAGTCAGAACTAACTTATCTTTTGTTCCCTCGAACCAGAGTTGTTAGTCCTTGACCTGAAAATTTTGGTCTTGGCATTGATTGTTTTGGCCTTAACCATAAACTCTTGGCCTTGCCCTTGTAACTTTTAGCCTTGATCTTGGCCTTGGACTTATAATGAGCGGCCTTGGCCTTGGTCTTGATAATTTTGGCCTTTTTAACAACTCTGCCCCAAACACTTGTCATAGCTCTTTCATTTTGGTTACTTACTTTTAGAAAGAGTCTCCCAATACTTGGTTTTTTTTTAACATTCTCCCAAAATAAACAAAGTCTATCTACAACTTTTTGGTCTACAACTCAGCATGTAGAGCAAAATGCACAAGGAAAACTCTCACATTTAGTAACAGTTACATAATCAGCTCTTCTAGCTAAAGAATCATAAAAAAGGTTGTATGATGCTTTCATTAACTTCTTTATATTCCATTCAGCAGATTGAAAACCTGATTTGAAACCATGTATTAAATGAAGGTTACAGCTTCCAACGTTAAGAAGTTTAGGTAGCTCTTGTTGATCATGCTGCAATTCAAGAAGATTAAGAAGGGAACAGTTCACATTTGTACCTTCCATAAGTAGTTGAGTCATACTTTTAAGTAAATTCTTTGCTGTGGGGTAACCTAAAAATTTATAGTCAAAGTATCTGGATTCAACATGATTTAAATTGCTGCTCTAAAACTGAATATTTAGATCCAATTGGACATTTTTGCCTATTATCAGCCATTTTTCAAACAAAGGATCAATTAACCATTTTTCTTCGAATTATGTTTCAAACATTAAATTAATGTAAACACAATGATTAATTTTCTTTAAAAATGTTAAACATTAACCCTGGTACCCTTAAAAAGGAAGATTTTTATTAGAAAAAATTTAAAAACATTAAAAAAAAATAAAAAAGTTCCCTGATTTTCTCTGATTTTTTCCTAAATCAATCATTTCCTCCTGATTTTCACTGATTGTATCTAAATTTCCCTGATTTTCCCTGAATTCCTTGATTTGGTGGCAACCCTGAAATAATTTAAAATTAAATTAAAAATTAAAAATAGTGAAGAATTTGTATAAAGTTATTTAAATTAGCTAAAACTAATACTAAATATAATATAATATTAGCTAAACTATCATTGATGGATAGAAATAAATGAAATGTATTCAATTTTCAATTTTTATTATGTCCCAAATAAATGTTAAGAGCGTTAACAAAAAGGCAAACGACTTTAGAGCATCAAACTCAAAAAAATCCAGAAAACTGCTGGTTTGTGCTTATGGATTTCGAACAATTTTTTATTATTTTACTATGTATTTTATTAATACATAGTAAAATACACTATGTATTTTATTAATACATAGTGTATTGTATTGCTACATACTTTTATTATATTATTAATATATTTATTACAAAATAGTATCATTGTTTTTTTTGTTATTTTATAAATATTATAGAATTATAAGGAAAAAAAAGTTCTTTGCTACTTAATAGTATACAATATATTGATTATTGCAATGCTATACAAAAAATAAAAATTTTAAAAATGCAAATAGTTTATTTACTTAGTTACTATTTTTTAAGATTTCTCCAACAATTATATGAAAAAATTTATATCAAATAATAAAAAATACTTATAGTATTTTTTTTTCATAAATACCAGAAAAAAAATTTCAATAAAAATTAAACAGTATTGGTTTATAATATTCTTTGATACTACAAAAGTTAATAAATAGCAGAGCTTTTTGATAATTCAGTACATGCAATTTAGTTTTGTAGTATTTGTCAGCCATCTTTGTTGTCTATTTTAAAAATAACTTGCGCGAAACAAAAAAGGTCCAATGCTAATTAACGAGAAATTATAGTTTTTTTTTTTGATAACTCGTTAAAATGAAAAATTGAAGTTTTCCCCCGTAAAAAACGAAGAATAAAATTTTCCGCTTCTTTAAACGTATACCGTAACAAGAGCTAACTACAAACGTTTTGAAAAGAAAGAAAACAAAATCATATTTTATTTATTTATTTGAATTTTCATGGTATATTTTCTATACAATGTTTCTATCCGAATTATTGTTGGTTTAGCGTAGGAACAGCCACAAATAGTCATCAATACTAATCCAAAGTAGCGTCCGTTATTGACCAACATTTTTGCGTACAGAAGTACTACTCAAGCGCTGAGTTTCGAAAAAATAAAAACACTAAAATATGTTTTACGACATGAAGAATCGAACAAAATTAAAAAAACTATTCTTTTAAATTTAGGTTACAAAAAATTTAATTTTTTAAAAAACTTGTTTTTATCCGGAATTAGGGTATTGTGAACCTAATTCGGGATGTATTAAAAATATAAAAAATACACGCATAAACTCATCAAATTAATTAAGAAGACTGTTATACATATTTTACCTACATGGATTTTTTTTTAATTATGTTATGACAAAAAACATTCTATTAGCACTCCGTGTAAATAAATTCCATAAAAGGAT